CTGTAAACATTCTGATTCGGTAACAGGATCCCAGCCCATTAATAGATCGTTTTTAAGAGGAGGAAACTGGCTCGGTTTAGCAATGTTTGGAGCTGTATATAGCCGGGAAAAGTGTTGGTACCATAAGTTAGATGAGATACTGTTGGTTACAATTTTCCCTTTGGGTGAGACTCCCTGGGCAATTATTTCCCAGAACTTTTTGTCATCCCGCAATTTGATCGCTTTGTCAAGTGCCTCCCATTGTTCCTTTCTGTAGAGGGATTTCTTAAATTTTAGAGTATTTTTATAATGAGAACGCCACCTGTGCAGGTTTTCCAATGAGGACAGGGTCCCTTCCTGTTTTACCTTATTTTGTAATTTCCTGAGCAAAGATCTTAGATTCCTACAGTCTTTGTCGAACCAGGCCCTCGAGTTGTTATGTTTTTTGAGAGGGTTGGAATTCGTGAGTAGTGGGAAGAGCGACTCTGAGACCTGCTGAAATGTTGAAAGGGGTCAGAAATAGATGAGATACACTGGTCTCTCAAGGCCAGTAAGTCTGATGAGTGCAGGTGTAATTTGATTTTAGATTCCAGGTCGCTGTTCCATTTACGCCTACGAAGGGCCAGAGTTGGAGGTGGGTCTGCACAGTGATTGCGGTATTGCGGATCCTCCACACCACGGGAATTAGTGAAATTGATATAGGAAGATGATCACTCTCAATTCTGTTGAAAATCCTGAAGCCCTGTGACCTCTCCAAGAGTTTTGGGAGACCAGGATATAATCAATAACGCTCGCACCTCTAGGTCCAAGAAAAGTAAAGAAACCCCCTGACCTATCCTTATGGGTACCATGCAAGTTATACAAATTATGTTTGAAGGCAGTCTCCATTAATGTAATGCCTGCCTTATTCAAGACCTTATCGTCTGAGGACCAGGGAATAAACCAATCTGCCTCTGGCAGGAACTGAGATTTAGAGCAGTACGTATTAATGTCATTTCCTATCCTGGCGTTGAAATCACCTGCCAGCAGGATATCCATGCCAGGAAATTCTAGTTCAGCCTTCTCCAAACATAGCTCTAAATCTTCCCAGAGTTGTGACGACTGGGGAGGGGTGCCTATGGGAGGGATATATATATTAAAGCAAAGGAAATCTCCTCCTTCACTGCTAGAAATAAGTGTGATTTGTAAGTTGTTACTCTTCACCCACTGCTGTTGCCGGGCCTCTTTCTTTCCTGCTGATTAGCCTCTTTCTTTCCTGCTGATGAGAGCAAGTGAATTAAAACATTCATTCACACATTTCCCAGATTGCATTTGGCCCCAGATTGCTGTGGCCTCACGACAAATCCAACCTCACTTTGAGAGACAGAAGGAAAGATGTCGGAGGGATAGGGAAAAGAAGGAACTTGATCTTTCCTACTGTTCAGGACCCACCAAACTTTCCTTTGGGTGGTCGATCAAAAAAGGAAACTCAATACAAATCTTTTCAAGGCTGTGCAGAAGCACACGTGAGCACGTCTCCTTCCATTCCCTTTTATCAGCAAAAGGAGGCCCAGTTTCATGTTCCTTCCTTCACATTCCCCAGCAAAATATTGACTCTTTAATATCTGACCGTGCATTTGCAGTTGAGAGGGAGAAAAGCAGAAGGTGACCATTAACAAGGCTAAAACGAAGAATGAGTCTCGCAGCAGCCTAACAGGCCGGTGGTTTTTGGCGATCGTTTTTGTTTTCTCCGGCAAGCTCCCACTTCTTCCAACAGCACGATGCTAAAGCGACGTTCACTCCGGAGCAAGCCCGTCAAAGTTCAGCGGCATGTAACTCCGCGTGATCAGGGCTGCAACCACAGGGCCCGGTCCTCTGCACGCCTGCTTGCATGCGAGCTCAGGAGGACTTGCTTCTGAGTAGGTGCACACAGGCTAATGCCTCGGCGATCCGCTAGTCCTCAAGGTTGCCCCAAGGCTCGTGGCGGGTTTGCTATAATGGATCGAGGCAATAACAACCCTCACCCATGCGTTGGCAACCACCCCGTGCTGCCCCCCTCCATCCGCCCACGGGGTGAGGGGCATGGGCGTTGCCAAGGGGGGCAGGAGGGGGCAACTGCCCCCCAATCAATTAAAATACTTAACTAAATGAGGTTCTGCCCCCGCAAAAAAGTCTGCACCCCCCCTAACATAAATCCTGGCTACGCCCATGGTGAGGGGAAAGGGTGCTATTAGCATAGTCCAACCTTGGGCCAGCCACTGCCTCTCAGCCGATCCTACCCCGCAGGGTTGTGGTGCAAGACACGTGCGCCATCTAGAGTTTCTTGGAGAAAGGGTATGCAATAGCCCCTTCCTGCCTCCATCATGGGAGAAATCTTGGCTCCCCCCTCCCCTCCCCTCCAGTGCAAGGACAAGGCTGCTGGGCGCCCCTCGGACCTCATTCCCCGCTTACCCTGCCGGCTCCATCCCTGCTACCACTCCACACCATGCGCGTCCCCTCCTCTGCAAGCGGCGCTGCCCTCTGCAAGTCCTCCAGGCGCCCTTGGGGGCTTCCGCGGGCAGCTCGGCCGACGCAGCGCTGCTCTCTGCCCAGTCGCCGCCGCGGCCAGCCGACGGGGCGAAAGGCAACCTGTGACGCGCCCCCGTCCCAGGCAGCGGGGGCGGGGCCTCGCGCTCATTGGCCGCCGCCGCGGCCCCGCCCCTCCCTTCGCCAAGCCAAGCAGTGCCCGGGCCCCGTCGCGGAGAGGGGCTCGCCAGGCGCGCTGCCGCGGAGCAGGAGCGAAGCGAGCTCTGCTGAAGCATCAAACAGGCTGCGTTGGGGCCGGAGCGGGGGGGGGGGGGGGTCGATCTTCTCACGCGGAGGCTGGGAGTTGGTAAAAAGATTTATATGCCGCTGAAGAAAAAGCAGGGAGCACAGGGGTGCCAAGTTGAATAAAATAGGGGGGTCGCATAATCGATCACAAGACGCGCTGCGCTGCGCACACCCTATTTGAATGGCAGTGCCCATCAACTTGGGCGGGGGGCAGCCCTTCAAATAAATTTATTTTTGTTGAAGGGGCCTCGGCCCCCAGGAGTTGGCTCCTGTGGGTGTGCAGAATCGACACAATACAAAACGACAATCAAAAGATTTTAGAAACAAGTCGACGTCGTGAAATTATCCGAATAAGTCAAGATAGGGAGAGTTGGAGCGCCTGGACTCTTTGTTAGTTCGTCTTTTCTCATTCCCACCCTTAGTTAAATCGCTCTCCCTAGTCTTGCCTTCGGCGGGGACGGCCTTGTTAAAAATGATCGTTGTGAGTTGCTAGAGTTGGCACTCTTTAGGGTTCACGTGTTCTGCCTCTTGTGTGCATCAAAGAGAGAGAGAGAGAGACTGCGTAACACTGAGGGGGAAATTACGTGGATGGATGGGGAGGGCAGAGAGAAACTATGTTAGAGTATAAAAAACATAAAATACTTGATAACAAGAAGGGGCCATAATGGAGTCAGTGTGGCATGGTAGTTAGCGTGTTGGGCTAACCCTGGAGCACCAGGATTCAAATCTCTGCTCAGCCATGAGTCCCAGAGGGTGACCTTGCGCCTCTCTCAGTCAGTCTGCCTCTTAATCTCACTTACCTCACAGTGATGTGAGGATCAGAGGCATACCTAGGCTCCCTTGCGCCATTGGCAAGGAGATATATTGGAGCGCATGGATGGATAGTAAATGTCATAATAATAACCCCAAAGGTAGAGAAGAGGGGCTTAACCTTCCTCTCCCTGTCAAAAGCTCTCCTGGCTGCTATTTGCCTTGAGGGGAAAGTGAGGTGGTTGCCTCAGCAATATATTATGGGTGACATGCAAAGGCGGCAAAATGTTAGTTATTTAATGTAGTGTATGACAGTATTTTTAAGCCACAGATAGGGAGAAATGTGCATGTGTTTTTTTCCTTCTGTCTCAAGTGCCAGACTGGTTGGGCTGCATTGACACAGCAGTTTATTCCATTTCCCCGAAATTGCACATTATATTTTAGCTTTCACATGACATAAAGGCCTTTTCTGGAAATCTAGTGGAATCTTGTGAAAGTTTATCACTCATCTCCATATTAATTGGCAGTGGTGGTGGGGTGTGGGTGTGTGTTTGATCTGCAAAATGGAGTGAGGGGGAGATGGTTAAATTCCCCTCCCCAGTGAATAAGGCCCAAATCTGAATTTAGATTCTCCTTCACCTCAATATGGCTGTCTTTAAGCAAAGGAAAGAATGAGGCTCCACCATGAAGCCTGGGCATATCACATACTGCAGCTCCTGAGTCGTATGCTTCATATAGTAAGGATTTTTGCTATCAGATTTCTCTTACATCTCTGCTTGTTGCCTTCAGGCACCACCTGGCCAGAGTTCTTGTGCTTACTTGAGAAAGGAATGTTAATAACCCACAATATTCAAGTGGTGTGTCTCCATGGGAACTAATTGTTAGAAGATTGCTTCCTGACACTGAGAAAGGGTTGTGGGGCACATATTTCCCCCTCCCAGATAAGAATGATGGAATCTTGGTTTGTGCATGGAAAGAAATAATAGAAAGGGTGGTTGGTTTTGAATCCAGAGAACAACACAAAGGGCACTTCCAGACTGTCACTGTTTGACAATTTCAGGTTTCACAGTTACATTTAAACTCTCATGCAACAAACGTGTGCCCCCGCTGCTCTTAGAAGTGAGCATAACAACATTTAAAGACAATTACAGTATCTGACAAGGGCAATCTAGCCATTGCAAAATAAATTTATATAGCAAAGGAAGTACTTAAGAACATAGCAATTGAACCTTGGTATGAGAATTGGGGTGCTACAACTGCTCACCCATTTGATGAAATATTGTAGGGTATGAACTTAAGTATCAAAACGAACAGATAGGAAAAGGCTTCTAAGACACAATGCAAACACCTGGCCTCACTTTAGATGAAAGTCAGGGCTGGGCTTGTTTATTCTGAGAATACTTTTTTGAAATATGGCTGAAGACCACACACAAAGGATTCCATTTCAGACTCTCTCTTTTTTTTACTTTTCTTTTAATGTGCAGCATATTAATATATTTAAATACTTATTCCATTGCAATAGTTCTTCATTTGGCACAATTGTTCAGGTGCAGTTTAGGACAGAAAGGAAAACAACAAGAACATAATCCCCCCCCCATAAATTCTGCAAATAATATACAACTGATACACTAACAAAGATGGTCATGAGAAATCATTATGTATTAAAAAGAGACAGAAAAGTCAGGGGTAGGGAAAAATCCCACCACCACTTTTAAATACAATATCCCTAAGCCAGAAACCCCTGAGCCCAACTAGTAGCCTTGCGGATACTAGTAGAGTTTTTAACACTGCACAATGCGCAATTCATTTTTTTTATCATACCAGACTCCAGATGGGAATGTGCATTCAGAAACATGTTTATTTGTTCGCCTGGATCCACATATCTGATTGAGGGTTATTGCTTGCGAGGGAACCCAATGTATTTCATATCTCACAGATACCAATAGATTGCATTAAAGACTCACTACCCTGTTCTTCCAGACAATTGACTAAAATCAGAAACCTCAACAAAGTAACATTAGCAACCAAAATAGATCTAAAAAGCAGATTTCACTAAAAAGCAGAAGAAAATAAAATAGCCTTTGCCAAGTACTTAAGAGCATGCCACCAACAGATAGATCTGGGGAGGTCATTCCATTGCCAGGGCAGCACAACCAAGAAAGCCTCATAGCCAGTTGTTATTCACTGAATATCTGGTGCTGGAAACTCCAAGACCAGGGTCTCTGTTACTGATTATAATACACAGACAGGTTTGTTAAGAGAATGCAGTTTTTCATATGCTCTGGATCTGATGCTGCATTTACTGACTAGGACATCTGCTGCTTAATAAAATATTACCAAAATGCATTAGGCTCATCCAAATAATGAGTAATGTCTGAACTGAGATAAATCACGTCATATTGTCATTACAAAGATTTATTGATATTCTGATTGTCAGTGCCAAATAAACCTGCGTATTGCTCAAAGCTACCTCCAGGGTAGCGACCATGTTCCAATTACTCCCTGAGTAAAACAGAAAATATAGTTGAAAGACTCCCCCCCCCCTTACAAAGTATGACATTTAGAAACATTTTATGTCATATTAATGAAGAACTCTCGTGTAGTTGTGTGCAATTAATTAGTCTCTAGCTTTGAAATACTGGTTAAAAGTTTTCACTCAAGGAAAATGCCATATTATGGAAAACCTCAATGGGAGAATTTATACATAAATGTAACATAGTGCGTGAGAGTTTATAGATGATCTTCTGGAGGTCAATATTTCTCAGTTGGTTTCTTGATGGTTTAGACAACTGCCCCACCTAAAATGAAAGATGTCATATCAATTTAAAATAGAGGCATGCATTACCCAAAGTGCAGTGCAATGCAAATACACTAACTAGGGAGAAAACCCCGCTGAACACAATGGGACTTGCTTCCAAATAAAGACAAATGCGGAGGATTATGCTGCAAGCCCTTATAATTTGGTGAAATCCATGCACAGAACAGAGCCTATATGCTCAAAGGAACCATGAGTTTGTGTAACCACTGGTTTATCAAACTTTTACATGGCAATTGTATCTGCTGTGACTGCACTGGTAATTCTTCCAGTAAACCTGTCAAGTGTGCATTCCTAAACACAAGGGATATGCAGTGCTCTTTTTTTTCCTTAAAAAAAATGTTTAGGGGTACTCTAATTTTCCTACTCATATTGAAATACTGCCCCTCTATGCGTGCCCCTGTGTCCCCCAAAGAAAAAAAGCACTGGGGATATGCAATTGTGAGCTTCCAAATGCATGCCCTTGAACACTTAAGAACTTTATTTCATGTGTGTTTATGATTCCAGCCTTAATGTAGCTTAGAAATCTGGCATGACAGAAGTTGAAACCAGAAAGATTTATTCTAAATGTTAAATAGTATTTCTCAGCTGTAGTATTTCTACTTTTGTAGAAAAGAATGTACTTTCCCCCACTCTCTTGAGTCTCTAGTTCTGCTATGGGTAATGCAGGGATTATTCTTCCCACCTCTGTTTGCTTGGAGAGTCAGATATCCCCATTTATTCGGGAAGAGTCCAGAGTTCAGTGTTAGAGCACACGCCTTGCATACCTAACATTCTGGGTTTAGGAATGTGACTCTCTGATAGTAGAGGTGGGAAATGCCTTAAAAACAGTTGACAGAGTAAATAGTAAAAGGCTAAACCAGAGGTGGGCAGAAAGACTCTAGCAATAAATCTCTGGGTGATGTGAAGTAGATTGGCAAGAACAAAGAATCTCTAACTCATCTCTTCAATTTTGAATTTTCATTGCAAGTGGTTTCATCCATTAGAACCATGATTATTTTTTAGTTCATCATAGCAAATATGTAACTCTTACTACAGTTATTCTTACCTCTCGGTTTAAAACAGTATCTCTTTTTCTTGTAAGCAGTGTAGCCCGCTATTGCCCCACAGGCTAACAGCACAACTGCAATCACAACAGGAGACGAAATCTGAGCTGCCGAACTATCCACTAGAGAGAAGGGGAGGAAACACATATTTCCCTTCTGAAATATACGAATATTCTGTTTTAAGTATAGAAACTGAACCAGCACACTATGGTAGTTTCACACATGTATATTTTAAAAATTATAATAATCCATGTCAGGGTGGTCTAATATTATTCGTTTACTTTAAGAAAGAGAGATCTGAGTAGAACTGCTCATAATCACAATAGATGAAGCACTGACTGACTACCAGGCTTTGGGAAGGAGGTGTGAGGATCTGACAGAGTCTTAGAGCCCTCATACCTCCTTCCCAAACCCAGTATCTGCCAGTGAGGGCTGGGGGGCATCAAATGTTACCAAGGGCTACCAGAAAAGGCCTTGAGGACCACATGCAGACCTCCTTGAATTAGAAGGGAAAGCAGCTACACAGGCCACCAACTGGAGGATGCTCTTGATCCATGTTGGGGACATAAATGGTTGCATCCACAGATAACGCCTTCACCTGACTGCTGCTTACTTCAAACTGCAACTCCAGGGGTAAATAAATGCCTGAGGATGGGAAAGTAATTTTTAGCAGACGGGGGACCTCCAGCTACTTTTTATTTGAAATGAACGTGGCCAGTTTAAGGCTGCTTTTTAAAAGCCCATTTATCGCAAAATGTACTTTGCTCCATAATATACGTCAACATTTTTTTAAAAAAAAATATACACTAGCCTTACCAGTGTTGCCACCTTGATTTGAAATGTGGTCATTGCCCCCTGAAATGAGAGACAGCAACAAAAACTTGATTTTGGGGGGAAGAGAAATAGAGAAATGTCAAAACCACACCAAGCTATTTAGCAAGATTTGGTTAAAAATACTCTTCTACAGTTGTGCCAGTTATTAGGCTGTTAGCTTAACCTTTTGTGCTTTCATTCTGTGTCAGCAGTAAGAATACGGATAATACATACTCCTCAGTCAATTACACCTTTTTGTAAACTCTTTGGCAGGACATTAATGTGGACATTAAGATGTTGCTAGGCCCCAACACAGGGACGCGGGTGGCGCTGTGGGTTAAACCACAGAGCCTAGGACTTGCTGGTCAGAAGGTCGGCGGTTTGAATCCCTACGACGGGGTGAGCTCCCATTGTTCGGTCCCTGCTCCTGCCAACCTAGCAGTTCGGAAGCACGTCAATGTGCAAGTAGATAAATAGGTACCGCTCCGGTGGGAAGGTAAACAGTGTTTCTGTGTGCTGCTCTGGTTCGCCAGAAGCGGCTTAGTCATGCTGGCCACATGACCCAGAAGCTGTATGCCGGCTCCCTCGGCCAATAAAGCGAGATGAGCGCCGCAACCCCAGAGTCGGTCATGACTGGACCTAATGGTCAGGGGTCCCTTTACCTTTACCTAGGCCCCAACACAGATCAGCCTCAGCCACTAGCTAAGGATGAGTTGAATATCTGGAAGGCCACAGTTTTCCCATCTCTGTTCTATGAATTTCTAAGAGTGCAGCTAAAATAATGCTGATGATATGTTGCTATGATATGTTGAGAGGAGGACTGTGAACCAGTGTGAAGGACCTGAATCACTGTAGGTTACCTGCTGGTCCTGGAGGTGGAGGTCTCCCATCGTTGAGATCCAAATCATTGAAATCACCTACAAATAATTAAAATTATGGTATTAGTCCTTTTCTCCAAAGTATCCTTCCCAGCTTTTGCCAGGATGAATGCTAATATTTTGCAAACATCTTTCTTGGCTCAAAGGCAGTAACCTGCCTTCAGTCTATATCAACACCAGGGTTTCCCAAACTTAGGTCTCCAAGTGTTTTGGACTACAACTTCCATCATCCCTAGCTAGCAGGACCAGTGGTCAAGGGTGATGGGAATTGTAGTCCAAAAACAGCTGGAGACCCAAGCTTGAGAAACCCTGATCTAGAGCTAGATATAAGAAATGAGCTATCTTTAACCTCAAAGCATCCACTTGGAGTCTGTTCAAAAGCTACAATACCTAGCAGACAGACAGAAAATTGCTGTTCTAACAACAACAAAAATAGTACAACAATATACCGTATTTTTCGCTCCATAGGATGCACTTTTTCCCTCCTAAAAAGTAAGGGGAAAAGTCTGTGCATCTTATGGAGCGAATGTGTGGTCCCTGGAGCCAAATCGCTGTTGCCCTGCGCTGCTGGGGTGCTCTTTGGGGGTGGGTGGGGGGAGCCACGGTGCTCTGCTGGCAGCTTCTGCTTTCCGCTGAAGCCCCGACAAGGTTTGCAAGCAGAGGGAAGGCTGTGCGCTCCCGGGCTGCTCTTTGGGGGTGGGTGGAGGAGCCACGGTGCTCTGCTGGCAGCTTCTGCTTTCCGCTGAAGCTCCGACAAGGTTTGCAAGCAGAGGGAAGGCTGTGCGCCTTTGCCCCGCACTCCTGGGATGCTTGGGGGGGTGGGGGGGAGCAGCAAATTGCTGTCTCTCAGTGCCTCCTAATTCAACTGCAGAGGATTGCCTAACTGGATTCTGAGCTTCATTTGAAGTTTAAAAATATTAAGTTTGGGGATTTCTTCAAGTAGCAGTTTTGCAGAAATAGTCATAAATACATGCAAAGCATCTCCACAAACCAGTAATAGTAAGCTGAGCTAAAACTGAGCAGGCATCTGGCTCAGAAACAGTTTAAACTGCACAACTATAACCAGACATCCTGTGTGTTTGTGTGTGGACCATGTTCCTAGCAGCTAATCTTTATTGCACTGATATTCCACTCCAAATCTATAATTCATTATACAAATTCTTACAAGTACAGTCCACCTATACTAAACCAAAAACATTGTGTTGGTATTGAATGGAAGCCATTTATCTGCCCTCTTTTCCTCCTCTGTTCTTTGCTCAGTCACTCCATTTTGAATCTTCATTTCAAAAGAACCACGCCTGTTTTGAGAAAACTTCAGAGATTTAGGAACTGGAGCGCAATCATTTGATCTCTTTGCTGTTCCTCAATACGCCAAGCACTTCTCATTTGCACAGCCCTGGTTTCTCTCCCTGACTATTAATATTCTTGATTAATAATAGTAAAATGCTCAAATTTTAGTTTTTGTGACTGCTGCCAATACTGACTTCCCAGTGATAATGAAAACAGCTGCATTATAATGGAATGTCTGTCCTTTTTCCATTCTCTTCATTATATACCGTGGCTTGCTTTAAAGCAGCAAAGTGGACAGGAGCCACACACTTTGCTGTTTTAAATAGCTTAGTACAACATTTGAGTCAGATTTTTTTTTTCTTGTTTTCCTGCTCTAAAAACTTTGTGCGTCTTTTGGTCAGGAGCGTCCTATGGAGCGAAAAATACGGTATTTTCAAAAAGCACATATACTGTAAGATATGTGCTGTTTTTGCAGAATGACTCTGGTCTTCCCCAACCTGATCTATTCCAGATGTTTTGTACTACAACCCCCATCAGTTACCCCTCCAATAGCCTTAAGTGTGTCTCAAGACAGATCTCCTTATAATCACATCAGCCACTTTGCTCCTAAACTCAGTCATAATTATCAAAACATATAGGCAACTAATTGCTTGTTAAACAGCCTTTTGCATTTACCACAAATTATGCTTACCAGAATTAATATGGCTTCCTGGCTGTGGACGTGGACGAGGGTATGGCTGAGGGTTTGGAGGAGGACCATCTAGAAATGACAGGTACAATTTGAAGAAATGAAAAATCAAAACAAGGCATAGAATTCTTACTTGCTTGCTTTAGCTTTTGCTGGGCTTTTGTTCTAGAAATGCCTTGGTTTCCATCTTGAAAGGTTGAGCCTAACATGCCCTAACTGGTTTTACAAGGTTTCCCTTTCCTTTTTTAAAGTTTAGTTTAGTTAAAATCAGTCCTGATGATTATTCCTTTTTTAAAAGTTTACATAAATATCTGTGTTATGTTACAAAAACACAGTATTGGACCATTGTGCTAAGGGAAAAATGGCCAATTTACTTGTGTTCTGTTGATGCTTCTGTGTCGGTAGTGAGAGCACAGATGTGGTAACCACAAGAAGCTCATGCACCCATTATTCTTTGCAAATGGTATGGATGAAAAATGCAAAACACACTAAGAAGCAAGAGTCTCAAACTTTTTCAATAGGGGATGCAACATGTGAGTCTTCTGGTTTTTTTAAAAAAAAAATAATATTTATTGATAATTTCAGGATTACAAGAAAAATAAAAAATAAAAAACAACACTACAATACAAAAAAAGAAAAAAAAAGAGAAAGGCACAAAATATAAAAACCAATATGACAATACAGCAAAAGAAAGTAAAAAAGAAGAAAAAAGAAAAAAAAACCCACAAATCCCAAATTGCATATCCATAATTTCCATTTGCTTGTTTCATTGACCTCCTCACACCTCCCTTTTTGTATTCTAGTTTAGTAATTATTTCAGCAAATTCTTTCCATCTTTCTCAATTTTTGTTATAAAATTTATTTTAACAATTTAACCTAATAATTAACTCAACAAGTCCTTTCCATCTTTCCCCATATTCTGTTATTCAAATTACCTTAATTTATTTAACCTTATCTTACCCCTAAGTACCTTAAGACTTAAATCTTAGTTTTCAAATATACAGAGCTCCTGATATCATTTCTGCTAGAGTCGTATAGTTTCATTCCCACATTTTCCCTAATATTCATTAAGCTGATTCTAAAATAAAAAATTCCCATTATAAATTCTCTTCCAATCATCATCCAGCGTCTCTTCTTCCTGGTCTCGGGTCGTGTCAGTCCTTACTGTCCATTCCATCTAGTCCATCAACCTGGAAGCCTTATGTCCGAGGCCATTAAGTCTCTTCCATGTCCCTTCTGCAATTCTTCTTCATCTTGTTTGTGCTTGCCCTTTTCCTTGTCTTTTGTTGGTCTCTGTCTTAGTTTCTTTCCTTTCTCATTGAGGAGTAGGTCTCTGGAGGATTCCAACCCAAAATTGTCTCCATCACCCTTCATCCAGCTCGCCCATTCCCCACAGTCCCACTCCCCACAGTCCTCGATATAATCCAAAATGTATTTAAAATCAAATTTCAAGATCTCTCCAAAGCTAGGAACCTCCTCATCTCTAGACTCCCCTTGGCCCACTCCAACTTCAATCTTCAATAACAGCGGCTTATGCTCCTGTAGGGCCTCAGGTCTCTCCATTTGTACTATTTGAGGTGCAGCCGCATCCTCCTCCATTGTCATCTGCACTTGCCCAGTCAGTACAGATTCATAGGTTGGTTCCTGAATGATTTCTGTATCAATGTTCCCTGTTTGTCCACAGTTATTAACCACAACAGTCAAATCCATTTTCTCATTCATCAAGTCCATCTTCTCATGCATCTGTTCCAGCAAAGCATTTGTCTTGCATAAAGCAAGCACCCAGTCTTCCTCCCAGCTCATCTTTGTTCAAGGTCAGAAAAGACTGTTCCCACGGTCTTAATCTCACAGATGTTGGGTCTCAAATATACTACAGCAACAATTTAGCAAGCTCCCTCTAGAGGAGACAATCTATTTGTATCCATTTTTTTTTTTGAAGACAAAGGAAAGTTACTTTCATTTTTCAGATATTTCAGATGTTTTTCAGGTATTTTGTTTCTTTAAAATGCAAAAGGCAACATTAGAATCAACTTGTTTCTCTTCATTAGCTATCTGTCAAAGTATTACGTTCACAGTCAATGAACCTCTCCAACAGTTTCTGTCTCTGACACCCCATTCCCAGGTTAGAGACGGTGGAAACTTATCCTTCTTCACTCCCTCTCCTGCTAAGGTTAAACAGAGTCCCCCCCCCCTTTTCTCCTGCTTCCAAGGGGGGTTTCAGTGATTCTGAATGAAGGAAATGTAGTCTTTTTTGACAGCTTCCCGGCTTTAGCTTGCAAAATTTTTGCTTTAGTCTATATACAAAAAGCAGAAGGCGGACTTCCTGTTTGCACCTTCCCGCTTCGATACCAAATTAAACAATTTCTTGATCCAATTTTCCGTTTCTACTCACGGGTACTTGTTTTAAGTCCAATTGTCCACAGGAAAAAGTCAGCGCTCTCTGGCAATGGCTGTGCGGCTTCACTCCGTGAAAGTAGCAGTCAGTTCGTAGCACCGCGCTTCTCACCCCACTTCGCTCCGGAGCCCCTAGATGGGATTCCCCGCGAGTAGGGGGGCGCTTCTGGTGCCCTGCCGAACCCCACGTTCCCAGGCTTCCTCCGCCTGGGATTTCTAGCGGGTCCCCACCTTCGCCGCGGCGGGAAGACCCAGTTTCCACGGAGCCCGTTCCTCTGGTCGGAGGAACTCTGCCATTCACCAATGGCGCTGACCCGGAAGTCCCCAACATGTGAGTCTTCTGATGCAATGCATATTTAAGGCTGTAATCCTATGCACCTTGCCTGAGAATAAGGACTATTGAGCATAGTATGATTCCCAAGTAAACATTCCTAGGATTATAATATCTTGCTTGTATGGGCTTGTATGGTGGTGCAAGGCCTACATACCTTCATAAATTAACTACTCCATTTTTCTGTATTGCATCCTAAATATACCTGAAACTAGACTGAAGGTGTTAACTTGTCAATTTTAATGTTGACCCTGATTTCGCCATCACAATGAGTTCATAAATTCATAGAATGCACATGCGAAAGGGCTAAAGTCTGATTCATAACCCTGTTAATCCAGATTACATGGATTTAAATGAGTAATGCAGAATGTGTTTAGATGAATTTAAGTTAAATTAGCATTATGAGTTTAAACCCAACTAATCAGAGTTCATTGATTTGTGGATTTGGCTGAAAAAAATATGAAAAGATTACTGCAAAATGTAGGAGATGGACAAATACTTACCACCAGCACCTAGGGCATCTCCTAAGTGAAAGTCGGGATCTAAAAGAAATAAAAATATATTACAAATGGATGAGCATTATCAATGTAGATAAAATACCAGTTTTCAACAATGAATGAAAGCATTAAAATAGAAAACAAATATGAACAGTTATAACAGCCATCCCATGTCTACACCCACACATTTCATCCCATTGTTTATAATCCATTTTTTAATCTAAAATTGGATAGGGATCCTGTAGCCCTTCAGATATTATTGAACTTCAACTCCCATCAGCCACAGCCATCAATGGTCAGTGATGATGGGAATTGTCCTACAACATAAGGAATGCCACAGGTCCCCATTCCTTAGGCTAAAGTTTACTCTCTCTCTCTCTCTCTCTCTCTCTCTCTCTCTCACACACACACACACACACACACACACACACACACACACACACACACACACACACACACAACTACAACAGTACACAGTGTATTTCAGGGCTGATCTGATCCAGTCAGTCATGTTAAGAGAACATTTCCAAAAAAAAATCTCATAATAACAGGGAAAACATAGGATAAAACTTAGAAAAATACTAATCTAAGGGATTTCCAAAACATTTATGCTTATATAACTCTAATTATCAGAAATAAACACTCATTTTTTTTTAGATTTTAAAAGTGAAAATAATTCTTACCATTGTTTCCGTTGCCACCTCCGTGTGGTCTAAGGTCAGGATACAGCTTAGGTCTGGAGTTGCCATCTATTAAACATTTCAAGAAGTGTATCCATGAAGAAAAACAAAATGGAAATCAGAATTAATGCTCCTTTAAAAAATCTGTATCCAGTCTTAACTATTAAATTTTAAATCTGCCTCATTAACAATGTAAATCATTCATTTCATTATTCCCTTGGCCACCTGAATGTGGTTCATATATTTTTCTTTCCTTAGCAAGAGCATTGTTTTGACTTCCTAATTTAAGGCAAGGGTCACTAGCCTTTATAGCCCATGAAACACATTTGAAGTTTTGGGGAAGTGCCTGATCGCCAGACACAAAATGTCTACCACATCTAAAAGAGCATAAAAAGATGGAGTATAATTATAGCAACTCACCCACTGAAGGCTTTTTGGTAGCTGGAGGAGGCTTTGGGGTACCTAACACAATTAAAATTAAAGTTAGTGTATCATACAGCTTATCAAAAGCAGGGGCAACTTGATTTTATGTTTCTCAATCCAAGTGAGACGATTAAGGTTGAAATTCTATACTCATTTGGCTGCAGGGCAGCATTTTCTTCTTTCACCTCAGGTGGCAAAATGGGACACACCACTCCTGACCTGTATATACATTGCATTGTGAAATATGATTGGCCTTTTCTTTTAAAGCAGGGGTTGGGAAGTCCAGACTTGAGGGCCAAATGTAGCCACCTAAGCCCCTCAGGGACTCTTCCCTGTTCCATGCCATCCTTATGCACTCTCACCTGACTGGAAGGTGTCCTTCTTGAACTGCAATACAGTGGTACCTTGGGTTAAGAACTTAATTCGTTCTGGAGGTCCGTTCTTAACCTGAAATTGTTCTTAACCTGAGATACTACTTTAGCTAATGGGGCCTCCTGTTGCCACTGCATCACCACCACACGATTTCTGTTCTCATCCTGAAGCAAAGCTCTTAACCCAAGGTACTATTTCTGGGTTAGCGGAGTCTGTAACCTAAAGCGTCTGTAACCTGAAGCGTCTGTACCACTGTAATGCCTCTTGGTTGCTGGGATGGAAGATGGAGGAGGTGTGTGTGTGTGTGTGTGTGTGTGTGTGTGTGTGTGTTAGAAACTTCTGACTTTTACATGGCTGAAATGTAGCCTGCCATGTAAGATTATCTTAAGCATTGCATTTGCCCAATTTTGCCTGGAACCCCTTCTGCCACAGCACCCAGGTGGTTTCTCATGCAGGAATGTGGTCCCTGGACTGAAGAAGATGTTCCCACCCCTGCTTGAAAGTAGAAGGAACTCCCAATGGCCCCTCTAGATTTATATTTTGTCATCTCACTTCTCCCAGATAGGAAGTAGCTGATGCTGGATACCCCTGATCCAATCAAGAAGAATCACACTTCATGGCCTGTAAAATTATGTTTAAAATGAAGAATTATTGGGCCAATATCCAACTGCATCTTCTGTAAATCCTCCTCCAAACTCTACTCCTGGGTAAAGAAGGTGCCATCCAGAACCCCAAACTCATTATTTGAGTTTCCCTGTGCTAAAAAAAGTTTGCTATTTAGATAGAAAGACGAGTTTCTAAAAAACAACAACCCCAAAAACAACAACAACATGTACACACAATGGCATCTGTTGAAGGATTCTGGGAGGATTATGCATATGTAGTTCTTTGCATAGGTTGTTGGTGGGAAGGAATAGCAAGGACAAATCGTTTAGGAAAAGTTAGGATATACATAATTTACATACATGCTCCTTTGAATCCTAGATTTGGGTTTCGCTTTTGGTCGTGACCAGAAGAGGGAGATCTCCACCAAATCATATTAAACATGTTCTGTCTCTTTTTAAAATTTCTTTAAAAAATAATAACAAGAATAAAAATAAAAATGACTAATCCTGAACTGCAGCATTTGTTTACTTCTTTTAGACCCTTTTGTTAATTGTGTGTTTTGTTTTTTCAGAAAATCTACCCAGGATTCCACATTTATTTCTATACAATGATGTCCAGTTTTGCCATTGACTTAAGCTGAAAGAGGAGTCATTTCAGTTTGATTTTTAGATCAAAAAAATAATATTCAAATTTTTTTTGCCAGGAATCTTACCTTTGTCAAGAGCATCCGCTAAGTCAAAGTCATCATTGCCTATCAAAAGAACACAATAATTTAGAAAGACATTGTAACAGAATGCAAAGCTTCAATCTGCCTTGTCTCCCCAGAATATCTGCCAAGGATTCTGGCCTGCTATAACAGAATGATGGCAGACATGTAGCCTGAGCTTTATATAAAATCTGAAAGATTGTGGTTGCTCCGAGTTAAACTAGTCTGGAAGGAACCTAAAATGAACTTTCCCCTCCCCAACTTGATATTAGTAAATTTTATTTTCTATTCTGTTCCTAATGATTCCCATCACGGAATGTGTCTTCTTCCACAGCTGTTGCACCCGGGTCCCATGGAAGATGGCATGACTGATGCAGTTGGCCCACTTGATTCAAAACAGGAACTCTAAGAAATTAAACATAATGATCTCATTTACAGAATCACACTAGCTTAATTCATTAGAATGAGCATGAAACATGTGATACAGCCTCTAGAGTCTAGAAAACAGTTTGCTGCAACTCCAAAAAGCTTGTTTACAAATTCCCAAAGTAAGCTTAATGGAAGTGTTTGAAAACAAGTATTTTGGTTTGCAGGTATTGTTTCCCTCCCAAAATAAAAGGGATGTTTTCAATGGTGCCATGATGCCAATGTGCCATCAAGATTTCTTCCTGAAGTCTTGAATTTATCCTCCTGTTGCATGGTGGCAAACCTCTTGAAACTAAAGGGACTTTCATAAACTGTGAATATTGGATAGTAGAAGATTATACCTGGCATGCCCAATATCTTAAGATATGCTTAAGATATCCAATCAGGTATATTATAACTGTTTGCTCAGCACAGAGTTCAACTATGGAACTCACTCTCAGGGGAGGCAGTAATTCTGGTTTTGTTCCCATTCTCCTCTCTGCTGAACCCTCCAACAGCAACACTGATACTAAGATGGAGGAAGGAAATAGTGCCACACACTGAACTGGTTGTAGACAAGTGATGGTTGCCTGAAGGCAGACTGCAATTGCTCTACTAGACTGAAAGTGTGAGGTTGTGTTCTGTTGGTGAAGCAGGCAAGCTAGCAAGCAGGGATCTGAGGCATTTCTGGGCCAGGATGGTAAAAACTGGGGGTGCCATACAGATTAGAAAGAACCATTTAAACTTGGGCCCAAAGCAGAACTGAAAAGTGCAATAGAAATGATTAATAATAATATGGATGCGGTGACATTGTTTCATTAAGACCTCTTCCTGTCTGTGCTCTAGTTAATCTGTAGTCTTTCCATCACTCTGCAAGTTAAGCAAATGAGGCATTAGGAAAGACAAAGCACTGTAGCACATAGGAAATGTGAAACGGTGAAATAATTCCACTTTAAGTGCCAATAGAACTGCAGCAGTATAAAATCTGATTGATGTATTCACATAACATTGAGGGGGAAGCAGAAGCAAAATTGCTTTTAGCATAGCTACAGTTGCTGTGCAGATCAGGAGACAGCCACTAAAAAACAAAACAAAAAAAGCTGCTACACTGAAAAACTTTACATTGTTTCTGATCAGAGTTGTGATGGCACTGTTTCCTAGCTTTGCTTTTTTTGCGATGGGGTGGGATTCTCTAGAGTCTATGCATTTATAATTCTGGATTGAATCTGAGGCTGAGTACATACCACATATTTAAAGTGCGTCTTCCACCCTACAAAGAATCTTGAAAACTGTCATTTGCTTAAGGTGCTGGGAACCATGGCTCTGTGAGAAGAAAACTACAGTCCCCAGAATTATCAGATGGGGGTACTTTCAATGTATTGTGTGTATGTAGTCTTACATTCATTTTGGATCTGGAAAAATCAACAAGAAGTGACGTTTCTCATCCATTCTTACTTAATAACAATGTCTTCTGAATTGGGAAGAAGCCCAATTCAGTGACAAATTCATCTCTCCTCACCACTTTTTTTTTAATACCGTGAGTAGTTCACAGTCTCTTGGAAGTTGGACAGCCCTGCCATATATAAACAAATTTTAGATTTTAGTTGCTCTTCAGTGCCCAGCAAATGCCTGCTGTTGAGGGGAAAATGTTGATGTATCAATGTGCTAAAAGCCACACAGTGTTGTGAATAAATGTTCCGATATATTTTGTGCATGTGTGGTGAAATCACAGGACCACAGGGTAAGAAATGGCATCTTGAGTTAAGACAGAAAGTGGTGAACCACACTGTGCATCTGGTCAGAACCACAGTGCTTCAATAGCAATCAGCCATAATAACCAACAACCATGCCAGCTCCTTAACTGTTCCTCTGAATCTGCCTCTAGAAAATATAATGTTAGGACAGTCCAGTAAACTGATCTGGATGATGAAGTAGTAAGATGTTATTGGATGCCCAAGACCCATCAGTTTTGATCAGCATGGCAGTGATCAGTGGTGATGGGAGTTGTAGTTCAATACAGTGGCGTGCAGTGAAATTTTTCATAGGAGAATAGTTAGGGCCAGAGGCACTAGCTTGTGAGGGCAACCAATGCTCACCTTGGACATTGCAACATCCTGACACCGTGTGCATGAGCATCACTCCCCACTCCCTAAACTAGGCAGAAGCTTCACGAGCTTTGGGAAGGAGGCACCAGAGGAACATTTAGAGGATTAGCCTAGTTTCCCTAGTCCACTGACGGCACACCACTGGTCCAATAACTTCTGGAGGACCACAGGATTCCCATACCCACCCTAGAGCATTCTTAGATTCCACTGACAAGCCATGAAACGCCTGAGGTCTGGGATCATTCAGTAAATCCCAGTGTGGTGATGCAAGGACAGATTACACTAGAAGCTGCAGGTGATGTCATCAATGTAAAAGGCCATAGGTCAGTAGTAGGCCATTTGCTTTGCATGCAAAGAAGGTCTCAGGCTCAGTCCCATACCTGAATGGCATCTCCAGGTAGGGCTGAGAATGACCAGCATGTATGATGTCAGAATGAAGTTAAGTGGTTTTAGTAGCAATGTTATAAAGGTGTGTGTAAAAATGGATTGTTAACAGTTGAGAATTTAAAGCTATAATATATTAAGTTAAAGGATTAAGATAAAAAAAAAAAGAGGGAAAGGAATTGCTGAATTAATCAATTGAACTGGAATACAAAAAAAGGAGGCGAGAGGAGGTCAGGGAAACAAGTAAATGAAATGTAAGGTCATGGAAAGATTGATTTGTTTTTTAAGTTTTTTTATTTTTTATGTATTTTGTATTTTCTTTTTCTTTTTATTTTTTTATATATGTAACCTTTTATTGGGAAACCTTAATAAATATCATTTTTAAAAAAAGAGAAGAAGAAGAGTTTGGATTTGATATCCCGCCTTTCACTCCCTTTAAGGAGTCTCAAAGCGGCTAACATTCTCCTTTCCCTTCCTCCCCCACAACAAACACTCTGTGAGGTGAGTGGGGCTGAGAGACTTCAAAGAAGTGTGACTGGCCCAAGGTCACCCAGCAGCTGCATGTGGAGGAACGGAGAAGCGAACCCGGTTCACCAGATTACGTGACTACCGCTCTTAACCACTACACCACACTGGCTCTGACCAGCATGTGAACCCTAGAGAGCTGCTGTCAGTTGGTGTGTAGACCATACTGAGCTGGATAGACCAATGGGTCTATTAAGTATAAGGTAGCTTCCAGTGCTCCTAATTCAAATGCTTGGAGTCGTGCAGACAGTGAAAATGGATTGGTAAAAATAGTCCTTTTCCGATGACAACAGACAATCTCACCAAAAACATCTCCTCTGTGGAACATACCTACCCAAACAGCAGAGCGCCAGTTTCTTTTTATTGCACTGCTTTGTTCCAACAAATCTGTGTTGAACAGCGGATGAATATTTTGAAAAGCCAGCAATATATTCTGTCTAAAGGGAAACTCATACCCTCCAACAGTTCACCAATTACAATAGGGACATCCCATTCCATAATGATAACTTTACTATTTATATGCCACACATCTTACTGGGTTGCCCCAGCCACTCTGAGCAGCTTCCAACATATATATTTTTTAAAAAAAAAATAAACTTTTTTTTAAAAAAAAATTCCCTTCAGATGGCTCGAAGGTTGGATAACTCCACACCCTCCAACATTTCTCCATTGAAAATAGAGACATCCTTAGGAAAAGTTGGACTTTCTGGGATCAAATCAGAAACCAGGACAGTTTATTTAAATCAGGGATGTCCCTGGAAAATTAGGACAATTGGAGGGCCTGGAAACTATCCTGAAAATCTGGCAACATGAGTAGGGTTGCTTTCTAATGACAAAAAATGGAACATGGGCAGCTTCAGTGAATGAAAAATGGGTAATCGTTCTCATCTCCAGTGATTTTTGCTCTGGAGTATCCGTATTTTAAAACTGGAGGAAATAGGATGTGATAAGTGACTTCCTGGATGACACAAGCACCTCATTACTCAGTTCCCTCTAGACACTGTTATCGAGGCAATTTGCATGGCAATCTCAATAGGTACCTCATTACTGGCTTTTGAGCCTTTCTGCAGTTGGAGTGCAGGAAAATGCAACTTTGTGAGGAAAATGGCTATGTTGACACAGAAGATAGAGGCATGCAGGGCACTCAAAGAAGAATCACACACATACATTCATGGTTTGGGGGAGCAAAGTCTATTATTAGGGCATCAATGATTTAATTCATGCTATATTGAATTTTAATATACTGTGATTAACAGCCGGAGGAGATAATGAAGCAGAAGGAAAAAAACAGAGAGCAACCACAGTCTCTCAGTATCCTTGCTGCAGTATGAAATTGTATCCTTTGTCTTATCTAAGAGTGAGAATTGCAAGGGAATATAGAAATAAATTCTGGGGAAACAGGTGGCCCTTTATGCAATATTGTCAATAAAATAATTACCTCCCACAAAAGCAAATTCAGGTAGGTTTTGAGTTTTTATTAAAGAAATGTTGTAATTTTCTGCTAAGTTCTATTTACTTGTGGAATATTATGATCTGAAGGTTTTTAAAAATAAAAAACAGTTTTGTTGATCATTGTTAATAATGGATATATATATATATATATATATATATATATATATATATATGAATAGCATCCTTTATAGCACCACCAAAGTCTGCTTTGTTCATTTTGTTCAGGAGAGTCACTACAAAGAAGCAATGATAGATGATGATAGATGATAGATGATAGATAGATAGATAGATAGATAGATAGATAGATGATAGATAGATAAGAAAAATGACATTGCAATGGGGGAATGGTGCAATCCTGCATTATTTCTCTTTCTTTCATAGCTTTATCTGTGGGCAAGCACACACAAAAATGTCACACTTTAAAAACAGCTTCAAGCTGCACAGGTAGCAGGATCTGTGACATCACAGGTATTGTCAACAGTCAAAGAACAACCAACTTCATTTCTGTTATTGAAACGTAGACTGGCAGGCCTTTGACCCTTCCTGTTTTGCGGTCTCTCCCCCACTTTAGCTCCTCATTATTTGCTTAGAAGTTACAGAAGTACAGACTTGGAAGGGACTATGGGCCTCATCAAATCCAACCTCGTATTCATGCAGGAACTTTGTAACATATCCAATCATGGAAATGGTTTCAGCTGTGTGCGTTTTCCTAAATTGAGCATGTACTAAGGACAGGGAAAACAGGTTGATCAGCAGCAGTGTCAACAACCACCAAGACAGTGGCTCATAAGCCAAGGGAAGAAAAGACAATGATAAAGAAGAGTGAAAGAGGTCGCTTATGATTCAGAGGCCATGACTAATTTCCAAGAGGATGGCAGGCACAGACTCATGAACATGTCCCTTCCTCACCAGCAGGTTGTCAACATCTTGAAGCCATGAGGTGAGATTGGCATTCATGATGACGTTTAAACGACACTTAAAGATTGGGACTTTGAGAGAAAGGTGTGGAACATGTGACTGCAGTCCTCATGTCAGCTTTTTAGTGCCCTAGATGTGTATTTGATACTGTGCTTGAAGCAGAGTCTAGTTTGGACCAAGGATAATGGATACCCAGATGTAGATAGATAATGAAATAATGTAGATAGATAATGAAATAGTTTCCAAAGCAATCAGGATGCATTTATACAGCAAACAGGGCTATCAGGTATATGTGGACCTGAAACAGAGGATTGACAGGACTTCACTGTGGAGCATGGACTATTTGGAAATAATCTAGTCCTATGTTTGGCCTTGGGGGCCTGACATTTTAGGGAAGGGTGGGCACTCAAGTCAAGTGCAAATCAGTAGTATCAAAAAGAAGTATTGGTAATGAGGTTTCACTACAAATAGTCCCTCAAGAGGAGATCACGGAAATCCTAAAGCAGACTATGGATTCTGACATAGGAGCAATATACATTATTATTATTAGTCGTCGTCATCGTATAATACCACCCTTCATCCAAAGATCTCAGGGCAGTTCACAACATAAAAATACAACTGTTGAATTGAATATGTCCTATAAAATACACCATTCAATATTCAGGCTGCATTTGAAAACTGAAGTCTTACCAAGTGTCATGAAGAGGCAACTCCCCGTCTAATTTTTTTGTAGAACAAGAAAGTCCACATACCAAACTTAATGAGACGGTGTGGATTATCATTCTTCACCTACTCGGATGAACTTTCTTCTTCTCTGGAAGACTGTCATCCTTTCAGTCATTCATTAGTTATGTGATAAATTGAAAAGCTTGTCCAGCACACCAGTTTTCAGGCAATTATCATTCATTTCAGAAAAATTGGACTAACTTTTGTAAATTAGGACTGTTAGCATTAATGAATTAAGTTTTAAAATACATGAGTCAGAAAAACAGCTTGTTCAATAATGCTCAAGACGAAACACTAGATCAGGAGTTTCCAAGCCACATAATAGAGCTGTATGGATAATGCACCTATATTAATACAAATATCACTTTTTTTGGCAAGAGCTTGCATTCCTCTCTCTTCTCATTCTGGTAAAGACTTTCACTTGCAATTCAGAGTTTGCAAAGAGCATCTGTTCATTGCAGGCCTTGGGTTCTTTCTGCTTCCATAGTTTGTAATAGCAAAGCCATGCCTAGCCTATAATCTTGCTAGATTTTGCCTCCTGCCTCTGCCCTCTCCCTCCACTGCATGCAAAAATAAAAATGCAAACTCATGAGATTACCTACAGATGATTGGTACTATTGGAAGTCTGAACTCATTACATTATGTATTTAAAAAGCTTGTTGGTGCTTTTTTAAAAAAAAGAAAAATGAAACTATAGCAGTACTGATTATAATGCTAATAAGCAGCTTCCAGGTTGCAGTAAAAGGGCTTGACATTGTAAAAAAATGCAAAATGAATATGACCAAGTTGTACAATCCTCTTTTGTAAGCTTTCTTTTTACCCAAATGTAAAGCTCTAATAATTACAGCTGAATACACTTCCGTTAAGTAGACTTTCTAACAGAAAGAGGTGGCCACCTCAGGAAGCTGAATTTGGGTATAATGGAAAGGCAGCAAAGGGTTCTCCCCCCCGCCCCGCTGCCTCAATGTATCATTTTTATCTGTTATTGCTTGTGGGATTTTCTGCCTCAGGTGCCAAAATAATGTGACCAGCCTTGGGTAAGGTTCACCATGACTAGAGATAAGACATTTTGCTGCCTGAGGCAGAGCAACAAATTTTTCCTTAAGTTGCATTTAAAGCGCATTCTCCCCACCCCCAGCAAAAATCATGGGAACTCTAGTTTATTCCTCACAGGGCTGTAAGTCCCAGCCATTTAGCAAACTACAGTTCCCAGGATTCTTTTGGAGGAGGGCATTTTATTTAAATTGGCTTTAAATGTATGGTGTGTATACAGCCTCAGTGAAACAAGGTTCTGGACTTACTCCCAAATATGTGTTGATGGGAGTTCATCTTAAATTAAGATTACCATACAACCAGAATTTCTGGAATACTGCAGCTGCAAGCAGTGTCCGGGTGGAAATCAGGAAAACGCTCAGCTACTTTTCTGTCCGGATTTTAACTTTTTGAAATATGGCAACCCTAGCTTAATTAAGACCAAATATTGTGTTTGCCGATGTGCTTCATGACAATGTTCTGATCCAATGAAAAAGTTAACACCACATGATACAAAGAACCACAGTTGGTTGATGTTTACATCTTAGAGCTATATAGCTGGAAAATGGCTCCTTTGTTGGAAATGAACTGCAAAATAATAAAAATAACATTTTTCTGTTGTTGTTTACAATCCAAAGAAATTACTGGGCAACATCACTTATGTATATCTCTTACAGAACTGAGCTCTTTAATTATTATTAATGTTAGATGCCCCTGCTCTAACCAGAGGCGGAGCTAGCTGCTCCAGCACCTGGAGAGGCAAACATGCTGTGCACCCAGGGGTGGGGACATGGGGGCGGGGTGAGCATCCCAGGGGGGTGCCCCGGCGAGTGTCCCAGGGGTGAGCTGCCCATAGGGGGTATAGTGAGCCACCCATGACGGGCTGTTTCCTGGGCGGGGCGGGGGGGAGAGCCACACCGCTTTGCCAGCAGCATTCCTCCATTCCCTCTTCCTTTTGACAGCTCAGGGGAGGCTCCCCCACCCGGAAGCAGCCCGGGAGCAGGAAAAATGGCGCGCCACCTGCCCACAACTCCCAAGCCTCCCCCGAGCTGTCAATAAGGCCGCCGATAAAGTGGCGCAGCTCCGCCCCTTCCCCTGACGGCTTGGGGTAGGCTTGGGAGTCGCGGGCTCACCGAATGTCACCCCCCCCTCAGTGATGACACCCAGGGCGGGGCCCCCCACCACCTCCCTTTCCTCCACCCCTGGCTCTAACTATCATAGACATGTGTTTGAAAGTTTATTTTTCCTTATTGGAGAAATGCGTACATAACAGGGGAAATAGAAGCCTTATTAAAATCTGAATCTTCTAACCTGTTTGAATTATCTTATTCAGTCATTTTCTTTTTTAGCCACCCCCAGGGTTTTATTTACTTAACGTTTACAGACTGTTGTTCAAATGAAGCTTGTTCAGAAGGCAGCTTACAACAACTTAAAATACTTTAAAAAAAAACTCTATATAAAAGCTATCGTTAAAACAACAAACATGCAAACTGCATACAAGCAAAAGTAAGAAACTGCCATTACGCTTAAATGCCAAGTGGAATGAAATAATCTTCAGATGTCCACTGAAGGTGACCATAGGGCATCTTTGGGGATATTAATCCACAACTCTGGAACCAATAGAGAAAAAGACCTGCTCCTCGGGGATGATCTCAACCATCTCACCTTCCCAAAGGAGGGAAGCTGGAGCAGGCTCTCATGAGCAGACCTGAAGGCCCTGGTGGCTTCCTATGCAAATACTCCCTGATACACCCAGAATGCAGAGGTCTGTAAACAAACTGTTTGCCAATATGGATATTTTAGATGTCTTTTCACTAGCCTATGAGTGTCAAGAGATGGGGAGCCATGTTCTGTACCAGCTGCTGCTTCAGAACAATTGTCAAGAGCAGCCCAATGGGTGTAAACCAATGTGGAGATCACAGAGGTAGGAATGTGGGCAAACATCTTCTCTTCCAGCAGCAGGAGGTGGAGCTGGCAAAGTAATATGTTGCGTACGGGGCACTCTTGTCCACATCTACCATCTGATGGTTGGAAGAGCACCACCACCCACCCCAAAGTTTTCGAGAGAGAGAGATTACCCTAGGCATAAAATACAGGAAGGACCACATCATCAACAAATTACGAGCCTATTGGGGCTTAATGCTTCATTGACCACCCCATGCCAGATGTGAAAAGAGCCACAAGGGCTTCTTACCTGTGACCGTGAGCAGAAAGCAACCTGCACACAAAAGGGCAGCTGCCAACTTCACCATGGCCTTGCTTGTCTTCCTTTTGTCTGAAGTGGAGAAAGGAGTCAGCTCTACAGTTCCTTTCGCAGATGATGACTGTATACTCCCACGAACCACTTGTGGTCTCGCAGGTGTCCTACCGAGAAGCCCACGTCACATGCAGGAGAAAAGGTTTGGAAGGCATCAAAAGCTGATCGCAAAGTATCTCAAACAAACACTTGGCAGCTGAATTATACAACACCCACATCTGCATCCATTCACCTATGAGCAAGAGGCATGTAGATTCAGGAAAAGGGAGGGACCAGCTGTTTGCAGCCAGTCAAAAAGCACAAATTAAGGCTTTCCCCAGCTCACCTCCCTTCCCACAGAGAAGACACTCAGCGTTCGGAAATAATTGTCATATGATTAAGCAGCCAAGCAGGGTGTGGCATAAGTATGCATTATGCTAATCCCCAGCAGAAGGAAAATGTCTGTGAAGCAAGCTCAACCAACTTGTTGTAAAATCACCAGAGAGCTGTGGGTCACATCTTTGCTTTGCAGAGAATGAGTGCAAAGCGTCAAGGAGGATCCCCTTGTTGAATTCCCCATCTGTTATTACAATCGTTCAGACAGAGAAAGGATGGAACGAAAGCCCAAACTATACACAGGCTACCTGTAAACAAGCTGTCAAAACATGTCCTGGCCATCTGTAGGTGTTGCACCGCAAGAACTTGAAAAGCTCCCCTGATTGAAAGCTTGGTTCACTCAGCTGCTCATGAATCATAAGATTCAACTGGAAAAAAGAGAGCAAGTTTCCTCACATTTTGACTAGCAGCAGAGTTTGCATGTGACACAGCACAGAAGAAATAACTTGGAATTAACATGCTGCAAAACAGCAACTTAAGTTGCACATTATACAGCCAACCATTTAGTGCCAAGATGCAGGGTGATCATGTAAGATTAGTTTTGAGTAGGCATGAGTAGTTTTGGCAGGCTTATGCTTTCCGATAATGCCGCCCTCTTTAAAAGATCAACAGTGCTGAATATACTGCTGTGGAGAGTCAAGCCATGTTTGTCTTCAGTGCATTTTATGACTATATATATAGACATAAACATATAGACACCCCCACAGTCTTTCCTGCAAGGAAATCAATGCTGAGATACATATTTCTCCCCATTTTATCTTCACAATAACCCTGCGAGGTAGGCTAGGTGGACAGATACGACTGGCTTAAGATCATAAAGGTAGCTACAATCCAAGGCCATGTGTGATCACCTGGGACTCGGGCTTGGAACCAGAGGAGACTCAGTCTGCACCGGATCCTTTGCCTCAGGCATTATCTGAGGCCTGATCCTGAAGAGTCCCAGTCTGCACAGGTTCCCCTGCAACAAACACCAGCTGGGCTGAGTCAGGGGCCTGAGCCTGCCCTGGCTCCAGATGCGGGGATTACCTCATTGCCTTCAGCTGGGCCATCACTTACAGCTGCTCTACTACCACTTTGGTCAGGGGAGGCTGAGGCGGCCCCTGGGTCTAGTAACCCACCAATGTCTCCCACTGCAGAGACTAAGGTCTGAGAGAAGGAGAGACCTGAGTACTCACAGGAGGCGTGCTCGCCTTCTGGCGAAACAGGGAGGTGAGTCACCAGGGGATCAGGACCAGCCGCTACCCTGACAAAAAGGCTGTTGGACCTCGCCCCACATTGCGGGAGCAACATTGCTGTATGCTAGATCCTGCCTGAGATCCTGTACCTGTCCTTGCCTGGTTTCCTGCCTTGTGTACTGCCTTGGCCCTGTCGGACTGACTCCCAGTGGAACCTTTGGATTCTGGACAGGTCCTGGACTGCATTTCATGGGTTACCCCCGGGCCCAGCACATCATGATGGCTGCGTACTACTTTCAGGATCAGAAGTATCTGTATACTACTTCAGAACCTGCATTTCTGTACACATTACTTGTCTAGAGATAGGCATTGAAAAATTCAGAGAAGGGTGGATTTCAAGGCTGATTTTGTTTTGGTTCATGTAATGTTTCAGAAAGTGTGAATTAGGGTTAGGGTTTCAGCTTTGAATGTGACCTGAATCCATTTTCTTCCCCATCCCTACTCACTACTTTTTCAAACAAATGGCAGAATCCAGAACGCCCATTTTTGGCACAGGCACATTTTTGTGCATGGAGTGATGGAGAGGGGGGGAAAGGGCTGTTCCAGGATCCTCAGTCCTGGGCCTGGTCTCCCAAACTATTATCTTTCTGGGGCTCTTCTACCTGGGACACTCGTGTTGTATTGGTCAACTTGCAGTGGGCAACAGAATGAGAAAGCAGCCAGTCACAGGCAGGTATTGAAGTGTGTGCCTCTCTGATCTACAAATGGAAAATAAACTGATACTTCACAACCCAAGAGGGGACCAGAGTTTAACTAAGATTGGTGTTTATTTTGTAAATAATGAGTATGTGCCTACTTTCCATGACTGACACAGATTGCAGATTTGGAATCAAGTTGGCATACAACCATTACTTTTGATCATAGCATAAACACAGCCCTGCTTATGTTCAGTGACAATTTTTCCTGGCTGGCAACTTGTTGCTGTTTACATCAGGGCAAGGCTTTGAGGTGAATAAAGATAGAGGAGGCAACACTGGCTTTCTTCCTTACTTCATTCATGCTCAAAGGTCAAGGAACAGGCCATGGGTTCTTTAATTACCTTCCTAAGTCACTGCGGTGAGAGCAACAACTGAAACTTTGGCAGAGCTCTCCTGATACAACCCCTCCCTAATGCTCCCTCAAAGACTGGCAAAATGGCACTAACTTCCTCAGATGCTCATGCCTACCTGTGAATCATAAGTCCAAGGGTGTGAACAGATGGCACATGATGCCACAGACTTGCCGTAGCTATGCTAAGTCTGTTTCTGGATTAGATGCTGTAGACTTGTGAACCTTGCCTTGAGCACCCATGGAAGAATTGTAGGGGGTATCAATAAAATAAGGTTGTCAGTCCAGGTTGCTAAAGGGGAGAACTATATTCACTATACACCTATGAAAAGGTGTAATAGAGCCCCATCTCTTCACCGTGGCTTTTGAAAGCTATGATGGAGGCTATATTAAGGTCCTCTTGCTTACTCCTAGCTTACTGGCATCCTTCCAAAGCTAGTCCAGATATTCACCTAATTTAAAACTAAACCAGGTCATCATCAGTTATTGTGTGCAGAGGAGGGCAACTAAGATGATCAAGGGTCTGGAAGCCAAGCCTTATGAGGAATGGTTGAAGAAGCTGGGTATTCTTAACCTAGAAAAGAGGAGACTAAGGGGAGATATGATAGCCATATTCAAATATCTAAAGTGTTGTCACATGGAAGATGAAGCAAGCTTGTTTTCTCCTGCTCTTGGGGGGGGGGGGTAGGACTCAAACCAATGGCTTCAAGTTACTAGAAAGGAGATTCATACTAAATACCAGGAAGAACTTTCTGAGAATAAGAGCTGTTCAACAGTGGAATGGTCTCCCTTGGGAAGTTGTGAACTCTCCTTCTTTGGAGGTTTTTAAGCAGAGTTTGGGTGGCCATCTGACTTGGATGCTTTAGCTGAGATTCCTGCATTGCAGGGGTTTGGATGAGACGACCCTTGGTGTCCCTTCCAAGTCTACAATTCTATGATTGTTGACAAGCCGCTTATATTTTCTTGGTTTTCAATCCCAAAGCCTCTGCTAAAATCATACAGCCGTTTTGTCTAGACCCCCTTAAAAACATACAGACAAGCGAAAAAGTTTTAGGTTTTGTTGATTTTTATTTTAAAAAAAGATCACAAGTATTATGTCTTAATTACCAAATTCCTAGAAGTTCTTGCAATCTAAGGAGCCACAACACTAATTCACAACCTGTGGTCCCCCAGATGTTGCTGGACTCCAACTCCCATCAGTGCCAGCCAGAATGGCCAATAGTCAACGAAGATGGCAGTTGTAGTCCGGCAATCTCTGCAGAAGCAAAGGCCCACCATCCTTACTCTACTTGAAGTTTAGCACACTCAAACAGCTACTGTTTTAAGTCATTTTATCACATAGTACACATGAAATAAGATGGGATGAAATAAAACAATGATTTCCATTAGAAATTAATGGCCTGATTGTATGTCTGTTTATTCAGAAACAAGCCCCACTGACCTCAATATAGTTTACTTCCAAATACATATAGGAGTGCAGCCAATTTTATACACACGTCATTGGGAAGTAAGCTGTCCTGAGTTCTGTGGAGCATTAGATAAAATATGCAAAGGTGTGGGGGTAATGGGCACAAAATTCAGACTCTGCTGTTTAGGAATGACATAGAAACATCTTTAGAAATCAGCAGCATTCCAATATTAAGCTTAGCATTGCTTGTAGTTTACAAAATGATTATTTTCCTTTTAAAAAAAGTATTGCCACTTTGCAAGTTTTATTCAGTGGCACATATTGCCTCAAAATGCAATATTCTTATTAGGTTAACTGATGCACATTTGCTGTGGAGCATGTGCCTAGCTCAGTTTATAATATGATGAAGAACTGATCTTGAGTTCTGTGTGCATTAAAAATGGAAACAAATTTAAGCACCCATGCTCCACACGTGTGGCTAGCTACCATCTAGTTTCTAGTTTAAGTAAGAACATGACATCCAATATTGTTTTGATTATGAGAGTCATGCATACAGAAATCATATTCTATGCAATAACTTTGATTTTACATTGGCACAATGCTTAGTTAGAAAGTATCTGAGTTCCAAAAAATAATGCTCATTGCATGATTTAGCTGGTTAAATTTTTGCTGTCAGCTTGTGCCAAACATTTACCACAATCTTAAAACTGAAATCATGTAGACAGGAATTTATTTAGATCCAATGAAAACAATCCATTTTCATGCTCCCAGTGACCATTATCAAGCCTTTCTGCACCTTAAGTGGAATACAGAGTGCTCAGCTCATATTATTCTGATCAATTACCTACTACTATATTAATGGCACTTCAAGGTATGCAGCTAAAGGCATCTGCAATTGGTCAAACAAGCCTTGTTGGAAGCCATTTACTGAAAAATATAGCTAAGTGGTCACAAGAATGTCAACTTTTTTTGTAAATACGAAACAAGAGGAAGCAGGGCACTTGTGAATAATAAAGAGGTACATCCCATAGTCAGAGGCACATGCTATCACTGAGTTTTAAATGGCAATTGCATTTGCTAAATTAATTTTTGGTATTCTTGTAGAAAACAACTCCAGCTCGGAGACAGTGGCTGGTTGAGTTATACATGATATGCTTATGCAGCTGCACAGCTTTACTGTGCCCTCCCCTTCCACCCCCAAAATTCCACACTTCATTTCAATATAATACAGTGGTACCTCGGGTTACAAACACTTCGGGTTACAAACTCTGCTAACCTGGAAGTAGTTGCTCCGGGTTGCGAACTTTGCCCCAGGATGAGAACGGAATCGCACGGCAGCAGCAGGACCCATTAGTGAAAGCCCGCCTCAGGTTAAGAACGGTTTCAGGTTAAGAACGGACCTCCAGAACGAATTAAGTTCATAACCCGAGGTACCACTGTATTGTTATTTTGCATTCAAAAGGCCCCAGGTGTAACATGTATACTAGATAGGACTTGCTCTGAGTGAGAATAAGTCACAAGGCAATGCAAATAGCATCTCCACCTCCTATGCAATCATTGTAAAGGCAAAGGTACAATTATCAGAGATGCTCCAAAAGAGACATTAGATCTTAATCACTTATTCAAAGGCAAATACATGTACATATAAAAACCTATTGCTCACATTCTAAGATGACAAAAAAAGCAAAAGCCAGGATAAGGTTATGCAGTTTTTAAATAGTTGGCATCTCTAGGGAAAAGGAAGTTTAGCCCTATGTGTAGCGTAGGCCTGAGGGCTATGCTTAACTTCTATCCATTTGGCAGATGGTTGTGATATTTTCTTATGGGGGACAAGTAAGGTGCTGCATTTTAGGGTATGAACATGAAGAGGGCAAACGTTTATTCCATTCCCAACAACTGAGTGGCAGGTGCAGCCCACCTATTGGCATTTAACCAGTATACATTAAAATCATCTCCTCTGTTAAGGTTCTTGCCATAATGCAAAATATGAGTCTTCGGACAAAAGCAACAGTTTCCAACAAATACAAATTTGTTTTAAAGCCAGGAATCAGCAAGTATGCAACTTTGAACTTCAAAGGGTAAACCACAGATACAAGTACTTAGATTTGTTAAAACGTCCATTCTCCCTTTCAAAAGACATTTTCAACAGGACTATTTTCACTCTACTTTGCAACTTCGTTGTTTTTTTTTTGCTGCTTGAAATGTGTGGTATTTTTTCAGGGAAATACGCAGGTTCTCTGTCCAGTTTTCTGGCCTTCACTTAATCTTAAATGATGCTACTGTTTCTGCAAAAGTGTGCGTTGAACTAAAAAGGAAAAAAGAGAAACAGATTAGAGTATTCAAAGATTACGTCCTGAAGTCAATAAAAAGTGTGCTTAAGTACAAAGGCTGCTGCTAAAACTTCTTACAGCCCATGCCTAAGCATGCCTATTCAAAAGCCCCAAAACAGGACCTATGGGAACTTCTTTCCTAGTAGTGAAGCATTTTGTCACCACTGCAATCTAGAAGGTGAAGGGCTTTTTGAAGATGGGCAATACATTAGTCCTCTGTCATCCTAAACCCTGAAAGCCCTCTCAGCAGTTGTTAACAGCCGTGCACTTTGGAGATGGAGAAAAATTATCTGATCATTATGAACACAAACAAAAGAAAAAGTTGCTGTCTTGTGCTCTCTTTTATAGGAAGCTTCTTTGTTCCATGCAACAATTCACCAGCAAAGTTAATCTTTCCTGCTTCCAGCTTGTTTCAGTTCTGTCCAAATTCTATTAAAGTTTCCCTAAAGCCAAGTCCTGCTAAGCTTTGCTTTATTGGCCTAATCCATGGACCAACAATAAGGGGCAGCTGTCAGACATCCAACATTCCACTACCATGACTACTAGCTGATTATTGTTGATACCTTTTTTGCCAATTGAAGTTGCAATACTAAACACACTTTCTAGGGAGTAAACTCCACGGGAGACAGTGGCGCTTACTTCTCAGTAGACAAGCATCGGACTGTGCTGCGCAACATTTGTAGCTTCAGCCTTGTAATCTTCAGGTTAAACACATATCCCTCATCATAATTCATATTCCCCTCCCTTTTTTGCTGCAACTGTTTCTTACACTTTTACTTTACGATTACTTAGGATTCATAATTTTGATTAAGCACCAGAATACAATTAAAAAATAAAGTAGCCATGTGGGGGGGGGGTGGAAATCACCTAAAACACACATGCATACCAGATATTTATGTAGGGCACCCCAAAAGTTGTTGAGCTATTTTTAGACAAGCCTAAGATCCAGGACAAAGTCCCCTCAGACGTCAATTCCACCTTTGAAATCACGGTAATGTGAGGGGAAACCCAAACGTATGGCAGCCCTAATTTATGGGTGTTTCCATAATTTAGCAGGCTGGAGATATCTTGATATGAAAGACTTATTTAAAGGGTGGCACTCTCCACTATTTTATGCATTTTTATTTAGCTGGATTCTTATAGCATTTAGTGGGTTCTTTTCATCACTGTAATTTTCAGAGATATTTTTGTTAGCTGATAATTAATGTCATTGCTTTTATGCTACAAGTCACTTCATGTGCACACAGAGAATGAGATAGACATCTTATAAACAAACCTGCTCCCCATCCCCATTTTATCCCTTGGTAATGAAGGGTTTCTGATGCAGTAACATCTCATCTCTGACAAAACACGTGTGTGTGTCTGTGTCCCCTTGCACGCACACATTCCAACACACACTTGTACGCAGAGCCCAGCATAAGCAAGATAGATCATCTGTCATTGTATTGGTCTAGATTACACCTGAAATGACTGTCCAAAGAGGGCAGACTTCAGCTGGTACTGAAAGATTAAGTCAGTGCCAGCCAAATCTCAAGAGGGGTGAGAGTTCCACAACTGGGTGGCTATGGCAGAGAAGGTAATAGTGACAAGGTGGGGAAAAACCTGAACTGTCCATTTCTGTTATTAAAAGTCATTCCCTGCTACTGCTGGGAAAGGTCTTAGCTAACTCACAGAGCATATGCTATGCAGGAAGTCCCAGGTCCAACCCCTTGCGTCTCCAGGTATGGCTAGGAAAGATTGCCTTCTCAAACTCCAGAGCACCACCAATAGTCAGTAGCAGTAGCACATTATGCTCAACCAACCAGATCATTAATAAATGTTTCCAGCTCAATGCAATTATTTGGCAACATTTATCTTCAAAAGAAACTCTAGAAAACCTGCCATCTGAAGGTAAAGCATTGAAAAGGACTAACAAATAGCTCTTCTATTTTTTATGTACTGGCAAGCAAGTAAGATGTACAATTATTAAGGGCATATTTAATGATAGGCTACATGGCAAATAACCTAATGCGGCAACTCTTGCAAAACCATGGGTGGTGTTCAATGCTAGGCCTACTCAGGGTAGACCCACTGAAGTGAATGCACATGACTTAGGATCACAAATTTGAATGGGTCTACTTTGACTAGAACTTAGCTGAAAACAACCCCGTGTCTTTTATTCTCTGTTTAACTATAAATTTATTTTGCTCTAAACAACAACAAATAGAGGATACAACACATTTGTAGCATTAACTATCTTTTCCAAGATGACACATGAGATTCTACTAGCTCCGCAAATACAACAGAGTTGGAGGTGGCAGAAGAACAATTTTGGAGCCGATAATGAAGAAAACACACCCACTTAATGAGCCAAGCCCAACCTCCAAATTAAGGGCATTTAGATATGTAGGCAACTCTCTGTTTGTGCGGAGGCTGCATTCTGGGTCACTACACACATAGGTGGAGTGTGTGCAAGTCTGCCCACCCCATTCCAACCCTGCCATGCCCACTTCCAGATCTGAAAGCGGCGTAGAAATTGAACGTGCACAAAATGGTCAGTGCCTGTATCTCCATATGGTACATCTACGAATCTCACAACTGTCATGTAAAGAAGGCCAATAAATAAAGCTAATAAAAGGGTTAGCAAGGAAGACAAAGTTAAGTGAAAATTGAGAGTTGTTTGAGGGCATGTTAAGTAGGAGGTCTGGCCTTGGTTGTTGTCTTGATGGGAGACCATGCAGAATCCCATATATAAAGCCACTCTGAAACATCTCAAGTATGCAAAGAATCATACTCAGTTCTGTTTTCATAAAGACGATTCCTTACCAGGTGGTTCAGAATGTGCTCCTTGTTGACTTTGCATATTAACATTTTCTTCATCTGTAGATACAAACATAATTTAGATACATTTATACTTCACATAGATAATTCAGCTCACACACATTACCTAATGCCCAGTGTGGGCGCATTTCAAACTTAAAGCCTCCAATTACACTGGAAAATACAATTCTAATACAGTCATAATGCATATTATGGAGGAGCTCTCTCTCTCGTGCACACACAAACAAGATTCTTCATGTCACTGGTTAGGCTAATAGAAACATTAAAGGCAACATATGAAAAGCAAAAAGAAACTCAATATAAAAACTTACCACTTGCTTTGAAGCAGAGCTTTTTCTTCTGGTAGGCTATAAAGCTTGACACAGCCCCAGCTACTGCTACAAGTACTGAGCTAATAATTCCAGCTAACATTCCTGGATTTTCTGTGAAAAGGTACAAAGCAGGCTTAATCAGATCCACTTCTCAAAAGCCATATAAATAAAAATAACAGAGAAAGCATTTTTAAGAGCAATTTAATGACACCAGAGAATATGCACTTGGAAGAAATCACTGTATTCAATAGCGTTTGCTCCTTTTTCTTTAAAAGACACCCACTCACAGCTTTCAAATAATGCAAATTTAGAAATAAATGTAACATTTCATAATGTTTGTGACTGCTTGATCGTGTATTTACTACCCAGTAGTACTTCCTAAGGCAGGAAGATCTCTAGTTCCAATTACTTAGTTATTATGCTATGAACCGCCCTGAATTCTATGGATAAAGAACTGTATACAATTTTAATAAATAATTTTTTTAAAAAAGTTGAATTAAAAGAAATGCTAATTCTTCCATTTAAAATCCAAGCTAGATATTGTGAAATGTAGGTTTCCAACATCAATATCATTGACTTCTAGCTGAAAAATCCATATTCTTAAACAAGTCCATGGTGAGTTCAGGCATGGCGGAAAGGAAGAACACCCAAGTATTCAAACCAGTCATTACTTCATAGGCTCACACATAAAATCATGTGTGAATTATGTATGGAGAAGATGAATACAGGTGGGTTTTTCTCCCTCTCTCACACCACTAGAACTCATGGAAATCAACACAGAAGATGTCGGAAGATTCAGGACAGACAGCGATGACCTCCAACTTGAATGGCCGGAAGAGAAGATAAAGACAAATTCATGGAGGTTATATTTGTCACTGGCTACTAGCCACTCTGTCTCCATAGTTGGAGGCAATATGCTTCTGAATACCATATGTTGAAAAGTGCAGGCGGGGAGAGTTCTCTAATGCTCTCGGGATGTGCTTGGAGGCATCTCATAGGTATCTGGTTAGTCAGTGTGAGAGCACAATGATGAATCAGATGGGCCACTGGCCTGATGGGCCACAGAGCAATTGCTGTGTTCTTACGCTACAACTCACTGCTGTCCAATCTGCTTCCAGAGGAAGCAATGGCTCAGCGATTGTCAGATCTGATAAGGGATGCTTGCTCATGAGAAGTTTCAAGCAAGTGTATAGAAAGGAGAACAGATGGAATGAAAGGGGAACAGATGGCTAGACTTCCTCCCAGAAGTAATGACAAATGCGAGAGCTTCAGCAGAAATTTGAAGGGTCATCAATTTTCTGTTTCCTTACAAAAAGCTCAAACAATGCTCGGGGGGGGGGGGGGCTGAATCATATAGTGACAACAGGTTCCTGCCAACTGTAAGGAATGATAGGATGGATGCAAATCAAATTATATTTTTAAAAGACCCAAGGCTTTTGCTTACAAACCTCACCCACCCTGTTGCCACCCCCTCTTCCCACCCACTTGAGCAAACCCCACCCCTTTACTCTTCACCAACTCCTTACCCTACCTACCCAACAGGTTGCCTGAGCCCCCCTTCCCAACTCACCCCAATCCCAAGCCTTTTTTAAAGAAGTGAGGAGGGGCTTCACACAATGGCTTGCTAAACCATTGTGTGAAGCACCTGTTCCCTAATGTCAAACCTCACTGCAGCCATGTTTAAACATCATAACTGGGCTGCCTGCCACCCACACTGCTTGTTTGCTTGCCTGCCTGCCGGCTGCTCTTCACACTGGAGTTGACAGGGCCATCATAAACTGCAGCATGACCACGGCTTTGCATTTTTATATATAAACAGAAAGAAATTTAAGACCATGTTATTTTGTGTATATGTGTGTCTTTTACAATGTGACTGCCTTCTCTTAAAACAAAAGTAGGATGCCTGTGGCCCTGCAGTTATTGTTGAACTCCCAAACCCATCAGAACCAGGCAGGATGGCCATCATGGGAGTTGTAGTGCAAGCTGTAGGCTGGAGAACCACATCTTGTCCATCCCTATCTTAAAGAATAGATTAATATTATATTATCAGAATATAGCCTACAGTTTGCAACTAAATGAATTGATGCCTCTGATAACAGTTACAGAAAGTTTTTCTGTGTAAAAGAAAAAGTATTATTGTTTCACAAAAATGAATACTATCTAGCAAACTTGAGTAGTAGTCAACTAACTATTACTCAGAGTAGGCCCACTGAAATTAATGAATTGGACTAAATAAAGTCCATTAGTTTCAATGAGCAAAAAAAAATGGTTTTGTGCCCCCTTCCCAACTGTAATTAAAAAAATAATAATTAGGTACATTACATGTGAGAAGCCAACAACCCTGGATGACTGTGATGTGTGAACACCACCATTTTGGACTTTGCTTTTGTCAGACATTGTGCTCCCCCTTGGATATGATTTAATATCACAGTAAGATGTCATTCATAATAGTTCTGTCCCACAACTGACCTGATGAACTAGAACACACACAGCAAGGATAAAACATATAAACTGCTGCAGCACGAAAGGTTAACTTTTAGGGATGACTTAAGAATCCAAAGTTATAAGTGCCATAAAAAAACTTCACAAGCTTACCTTCCGCTTTGCCACCAGAGTCTGAGCCACCTATGAAAACAACTTTGTTAGAATATGCTTTGCAAACAGTAGCTCTTTATTCCCCCTATGAGGCAACTGCAGTAAAAAGTGTTCTACCTTCCAATTCAAATACTAGCAGAGTAAAAGATGGTCAGAAGGATTCTTGTATTAACAAATAAGCAGTATGTGAAGGGCCAGTGCTATTACCAAGATAAATATTTACATCTAAACCTGAAGCCTCTTCACATATTGTTCCTTCTTCTTCTATGAATAGCAATCAAAGGCAAGGTGCATATTATTAATCACTGAAAGATATAAATAGTGTGGTACACTTTTTCAAAGTTGGCTGGTCTCCTTGTCAGAAATGCTTACCCAAAGGTACTCTATCACTTATCCCTAAAGGGCTTTGACTTTGGAATGATCTCTGCTTCAGGTTACCTCTGTCCCCTTCATTGTTGAGAGACAGCAACTGAAGACTTTATAGATCACATGGAACTTTCCAAACTGTTGTTGTTTCATTGCCACTAGCAGAAATTTCTGGGTTGGTGTTTCAATGATGGTTATTTTCTAAATATTTTAGTTTGGCATGCATTTTATTTCCAGATGTATTTTGCTGTTTATCTTTGGGCTGGGCATGGCCTAAGACTCCCAGAAGGCAGGGCGATCCCCCCCCCCTTTTTTATAAGCCTTCCAGAGTTCCTTGGAGGAGATATTTAGAACATTCCCTTCCAACAATTAGCTGTAACCCTTTCAGTTTCCAGATAGCAGTGCTGTACTATGAAATACTCTGGATATGAGCAGTTAAGTCAGAGGGAAATGATACACAACAGCCCTCTGAGAACGCTGAATGCAATCACATAACTGCCCTTCCCAATATGTGAGTCGGAGGGAAAGAAATGTAAAAGTGTTGTTAGTGTTGCACTACTTCTATAGAAAAGTGAGATGGCAGCAGAGAGAATAGATAGTCAGACTAGAGCCGCAGTCTTATTACACAGGTCTACACCAACTGTTTCTACTGCTGATGTACTGAAGATACTGTGAAAAGGTAGCATAGTCTGCAATTCATCTTGGTCCCTTGCTTATTGTTCTACATTTGCAGTTTAACCTCACCTAGTCCATCCCTTGGTATCTGACCAGACATGATAGATCGTCTCCTCACTCTACCTGCAGTCTTGCCAATCCTTTTGTTTGTGTTTGTTTTACCCATGACTGGCTCATCAATGTCCATAGATATGTCTTCTGTTTTTCTTATTATGGTTGTACCTTGGTTCTCGAACAGAATGTGTTCCGGAACCGTTCGAAAACCAAGGTGCGGATTCAGATTGGCTGCAGGAGCGTCGGACATTCAGCTTCCAAAAATAGTTCAAAAACCAGAACACTCACTTCCAAATTTAGATTGTTCAGGAGCTGCTTTGTTCAGGAGCCAAGGCATTTGAGATCCAAGGTATGACTGTAATCATATTTCTATCAGACTGAGGTCCAGAACTACAAGCAATTGCTCTCTTGCCTTGTTTTGAGTTAGGCTATCCTTAAAATAAATTTGTTTTGATAAAAGGTATTAAGGACTGCCTGTACAATTAAACTGGATTGTTTTCTTGTTTTCTTTTTAGAACCTTGCGTGCCTTCAAGTAGCTCACAACCCCATGGAAAGCATATGATGAGCAGTATCACCAAGACTTGCAAGAGACTTGCAAGATACAAGTAAAACAACAACAACAATGTAACAAGGACATGTGTGCTATAACATACAACAGTTGCAAATATCTTGCTACATGGAAAAGCAAACATTGCACAGCTCACATACCTGCAGAAGGATTAGAAGCACGGCCTACATTAAGAAAGAAAAATTGTGCATAACAGCGTGAGAAGCAAAATCAACATAAATTATTCTTAGAAAAGTAACTGAGAAATTATGAGTAAGTTAGCTGTGCACAAAGTTAGCATCAATTAGCCGTGCACAGAATACATGCAGACATAACCAATTCCAACTATGTGTTTGTATTTCTTTACTTAAAATGTAGAATAACATTCAAACTATCAGAGTCTTCTGCATGAGCCTTGCAAAACCAGCCCCAGATAAAAACTCAAAGATTATCCAGCCATTTATCATGCTCAATCAAGGTGATTCATGCATTTATCATGCATGATCATTTAAGTGTGTCCTATCTATGAAGGACCTTCACAGGGAGTTTCAAGGAGCATGTAGACAAATCTGAGCAGTACAAATGCCACCACTACAGACACTCACTTGTGCCATTAGCTCCTTGAATGGTTAGAACAGAAAACTAAAACTATTAAGCTATTACACATAAATAAAAAGTCAGTGTTATTAACTGTGTTATGAGCTTCTGTCTGGTCAGGAATGCTGAAACTGCTATTATGTACAATGGGGTATAGAAAAGTAGATTCCCAAAGCTGTCATTTCAGGACTGGGAACTAATTCAACAGATACTGGGTCCAGGGCCAGCAGGGGAACATATTCTTGAGTTTCATTTCTTTAAAAAGCAAGCCTTTAGTCCTTGCGGAACAAAAGTTAATAAAGCAAAATGTGCAGGCAGTATACTAAGCAATTGGTTTGCAAGATATAAGCCTGCTTCCATATTCAGTGTTTTAGCCAATAACCAAGACTGTCAAGTGCTATAAGGAAATTTAGAGTTATACATGCCCTGAGAAGACCCAGTAATAGCTTCAGAATGAAGCAGGAAGTCCTTTCTCCACTGAAGCAATTTTTGGGTGTTCCCTGGTTCCCCCTCTACATTAGGATAACAGAGAAAGACTTCCTGGTTCACTCTGAAGCTGTTTTCCCCCCATCGTCCCTAATAGAAAATGATTGTGGTCTTGAGAAAAAATTAAGAAATTCAAGAGTTTAGTGTTGCTGTGACTGGACCGTAGTTTCTCCACTCCAAAGCAAAAGGAATTTGCAAATATGAGCATTCACTCTCTTTCAACTCAGGTTTAATTTCATGCAAAAACTATTAATAATAATTCATTATTAGTATATTTATATTACAAAGTGGGCTTTTCATGGTAAAGAAAGCACGAGCTATATCAGCTGTGTTGCTATACTAATATTGGCAGTGGGGGCTAAGAGAAAGTAATGTATGAAAACCTGAAGCCACTTCATATAGTTGATGGTATCAAAAGCTGCTAAGAGATGAAGCAGAAGTAACAGAGTCACACACCCACTGTCTCTTTCTTGATCAGGGCAAACAAGGCTGATTCAATTCTGAAACCAGGTCTGAAACTCAGATCACAGCAGATCCAGGTAATCAGCCTCATCCAGGAATGCCTGCAGTGGCTCCACTACCACCTTCTCAGCCATAGTTGCAAAGAAAGGGATGTTGGTGATTTGCCTATAGTCACTATATTCTGCTGGATTCAGAGCAGGCTGTTTAAGAAAATATGCATCACTGTGTCTTTAAGAGTAGTGGGAGGCATGTGATTACAACAATGAGGCATTGATCACATCCGGGGCCAATTCAGTCGCTCCACTCCAACTAACTGACAGGATCTAACCAGCACTGGCAGTATTCTGTCTACATCATCAGACCAAATTAACTGGAATCTATCCCACAACACTGGATCCAACAATGTGGCATTGGACACTTGGGCTGGCAATGCCACAACAGGAGAGCTGGCCAATTTTATCCTCAAAGTGTTTAGCCAATTGGTTACAGAAAAGGCACCATGTGCTCCAGAGATCCACCACACCCCCTTGTCAGGAGTGATCAACCTCCAGACCATACAAAACAACTCTGCTGGTTGGCTTCTCAAGGATGTGATGCAGATATTGGAGTAGGATCTCTTTGCTGCCCCCACAGCTTTGTGGTAGTTCTGATTGCTCTGGAGCAAGATTTTCACTGCTTATGCTCCTATCCCCACCCAGTCAACCACAGCTGCTCAATAAACCAAGGATGTATAGTTGAGCATTTGCCATGGCTATACTTTTACAAGCTTTCTCAACTCTCAACCCATTTTTAGACATTTCCTGTTTCATAAATTAATAGCACATTGAATAGAAATGTTAGTAAAATCTTGTTTTAAAAAAGTTGTAATTAACTTACTTTCAGATGCCTGTCCCTGGGAAACATGTATTTATGCACAATGTTTTCAGTGTCATTGCCCCTAACCCCCACCCCCTCAGCATCGAAGGGAAACATCTGTAAGAGATGGGGAACACGTGGCCTTCTAGCCATTGTAGGACTCCAGGTCCCATCAGCCCAAGATCAGGAATGATGGGATTGTAGTCCTATATCACCTGGAGAGATGCAAGTTCCCAAGCCCATCTCAAAATACCTACAGGTATTCTAATCAAGATGATTTCCAAGTAAAATGTTGAATTTCTGTAAGCACCAAAGCTAAGATCACAGCACAATCCATCTTTTTAGTTTGTCCCACACACCACACCCCCAAATAAAACATTTCAACATATTTTGGCTAGTAGAAAACTGTTAAAAATGTTTAAATTAATATTTTAAAAAGGTTTGCTTAGTTAATGCAAGTCAATCCAGCTAAATTAAATCTCAACTGATTTAGGGAAACATATTATTATTATTATTATTATTATTATTATTATTATTACTTATTATTATTTATTATTATTATTATTGGACCAGAGAACCCCCGTCATAATCCCTCAGTATTATAAAAAAACACAAATGTGACATATCTAAGTATATTTATAACAGTTTGCACTAGAAACTTACCTTTTGGTGGATCTGGGGGTGCCTGACCATCATTTAAATCCAAATCACTAAAATCTTTGAAAAGAGAATATTTGTTAGAATGAAGTCTTCTAAAAACCCACAACATATATTTCCTATGGCAATCTGTACACTATGGTGTTTGTGGCACTTTTCCAGGGACCATAAATATAGCTACAATCCCAAGCATGTTTACCATGAAGAAAAGCCCACATAATTCAGCTAAGCTGGTTATGGAGAACGTGTAAGACTCACATTGAGTTGCTCAAGAGGGGCAGGTGAACAGCCATGCTAGTGCCATTTTGTGAAACACGTTGGCATCAAGCACCCGTGTGCATGATGGCATGATGGCAGCACTCTCCACCTACAGTGCCTTACATTACATATATGCTTTATAAATTTCTCCATGTCCCCTGCAAAAGGTCTGGTGCAGTAGCTCACTAAGTGAGCTCTAACCAGGTTCACAAATCACTTCAAGTTCTGGTTAAAACTAAACCAGAATCAATGCTGATATAAAGCTCCATTATATTATTGCTGACAAAGGAAGGAAGTGAGAATGAGAGGGGGAAAGAGAGAGTGCATGTGCCTGCAGCCCACACCATATCCCTTAGCTATGGGTAAGCCATCAACAGTGTTATATCAGCACTGAGCTGTAAATCTTGCAGATGGTGAACTATAAAGATCTGAAGATTCACTGAAGCACAGATGAAAGTTATCACCTCTCTTCTTTAATCTCATATTAGATTTTAGTTTACTGACCATAACTGATACTGTCAGGCTACGCTCTGAAGTACAGTGGTGCCTTGCAAGACGAAAAGAATCCGTTCCGTGAGTCTCTTCGTCTTGCGGTTTTTTCGTCTTGCAAAGCAAGCCCATTAGCGGTTTAGCGGATTAGCGCTATTAGCGGCTTAGCGGGCTTAGCGGATCAGCCGATAAGTGGCTTAGCGGATCAGCTGATAAGCGGCTTAGTGGCTTAACGGATCAGCTGTTAAACGGCTTAGCGGATCAGCTGATAAGTGGCTTAGCGATCAGCTGTTAAGCGGCTTAGCGGCTTAGCGGATCAGCTGATAAGAGGCTTAGCGGCTTGGGAAAAAGGGGGGAGAAAGGAAAAAAAACCCGCAGGAACTCGCAAGACATTTTCATCTTGCGAAGCAAGCCCATAGGAAATTCGTTTTGCGAAGCACCTCCAAAACGGAAAACCCTTTCGTCTAGCGGGTTTTCCGTCTTGTGAGGCGTTCGTCTTGCGGGGCACCACTGTAATATTTCTAGAGAAGCTTACCACCGGTATTGCCATGACTTCCAGGATTTGGCTGAGGTGGTGCTGGTGGTTCTGGCTTCTTGGGGTCATCAACTAACAGAGAGAGAGAGAGAGAGAGAGAGAGATAACAAACTTCAAAATATGAGAAGTAGAAAATACCTTGATAGTCTGATTTTGTAGGAATGGTATCCCATTTTCCTTGCTTCTTAGGTAGAATTATGTACTTGACAAGCCCATCCACAATGGTAAAACTTGGAATCTAGCTTAAAGCCAATACCACAGCTGTGTGTACATGACATCCTGGCATGCTCTCAGGTTATTCCATCACTTTCTTGTTCAGCAGCTTTCATACCCTCAGAAACCCATCCAAATTTAAGGAGGGGTTTGGCACAGGGCTATTAGGATCTGAGAAACCAGGGTTCAAATCTTCACTCAGCCATGGAACTGATTAGGTGATCTTGGGCCTGTCTCTCAGCAAAATGTATCTCACAGCATTGTTGTGAGAATAAAATGGGGATGGGGAGAACTATTTAGAAGACCCTAAGCTCCTTGGGGAGGAGTTGTTCCAGACCAAGCAGGATAAATAACCTCCCCTCTCTTCCCTCAAGTTTCTTTTGGTACAGGAGTAAAAGCAGCTCAATAAGCCACTGTAATATACATATTACTTCCCCGCAGTCACTAAGAATATCACCTGCCAACTCCCCCAAATTATAAATGTATCCAGGTGAGGGATGTACAGATTACCCGCAGTGACTAAAGAATGCATACACAGAGCAAGGGAAAGGCAAACACAAACAGCATCTGTAGTGCTGGGTCAGATGCCTGAAATTGGTGCCCCAAGGTATTTTGGACTGCAACTCCCATCACCCCTAGCCAGCATGACCAATGGTCGGGGATGATGGGACTAGCATTCTTGCAACATCTGGCAAAGGTTTTTATAGTGTGCAAAGTGTGACTGTAGACTATCTTGCAGCACCATTTCCTAAAATCTGCGGAAGATGGAAAAGGCAATTCTCTGGCCGATTTTAAGTAAACTGTTTGATGCAACTGTACAGTTGGGATACTGCTTTGTCCATTATATTTGCTTATGCTGCTCAACTGGGATAGGGAAGCTCTGGCTCTTGGGCCAGTCTTGGCACACGAGGCCATTTTTTTCCAAAACCACAGCCACCTATCTATCTGGGAGGGTGACATCAGCTGCTGAGGGAGCTGGAAGAGTTCAATTTAGCTGCAAGTGCCACTTCCTCACAGGCAAGTGGTGTGTGCAGCCAAAGCAGCAGGATTTAACTGCCACTCAACAGTTGACAAGCTGAGTTTAAATCCTGCTCAGACCCCTGCAGAAAGCAGCACTGAAATCTCCACTCATCAGCATCTCGCACAACACAGGGCTGTTTGAAACCTTAGGTTTGCAGAGGTCTGAAGTGCTATTTGTACAAAGGACTTCCAAAGATCCTCATGCTATTGTCTTTGAATTTGCGACTGTCTTCAAAAGCAACATACAAACTAGACTTGCATGGAGTGCAGACAATACTTACCAAAGGCATCTTCCAAGTTAAAGCCATCATCATCATCTAAACAGGGAAGACAACACAGTTGTAATCTTTCTCCCAGAAATGAAATACTCCAAGTAAAATGATTTAGATTTTATTATTATTATTATTGATAATAGTAAGTGACACACACACACCGGGGGGGCGGGGGGGGGCGCTTCACAATGTATGTAGAACCCTATTTAAATTGGGTACTCATGGTCAATGTCAATGACCAATGAAATATTATAGGTTAAAATGATTGATATTTTATAAAGCAGAAAGGATGGTACTCAATAAAGTAGATTCACTAGCACGAAGATTAAAACTAGCCCAATGAGATATCCCACTGCATGTACCTTGCACTGTCCCCGAATTTGCTCTGAAGGGTTGGGGGAACTTCCAGAACAGATTTAGGGAGTACACAGGGAGGAGGGGGAGGAACACATTCTGTTGCGCAATGAGAAACTTTGGAACAGTTATTAGTACTTCATGCTTTCCCCTCTGTAAATGGTCTGGCAAGGCTATGTCCCCATGGCATGCCCTGACTCTAGGCCCAATATCTTGGAAATCACACCTCTGTTGGTGACACGTGTTCACATTCATGTACACATGTAGTCAAGGATAAATTATTTGGATGTTTGTCCTGCCCTATACGTCGCCTGAAGTGGGTTGCATTATTAGACCCTATATGCATGAATTATCAGTGTTATGGAAAGTTCACTCGCATATTTGCAAAAAAACAAAACAAAACATTGGACTAAGGCAAATTTGGCATCTACTTGTCTTGTACTCAGCAGAGCGCACTCCTCCATTGTTTCCTGAGACGGAGGGATGACAACTCATGACACACAATGCCATTTATAACCCAAACCTAGTCACGTACACTGAAAAATAAATGTATAGGAATAGCAAGTCAATGTTCTGATTACTCTTATACCCACTTTGTGTTGGCTTTTTATTAGGTGGAATCGGCTTCTGTGTTACATCTGTCGGATCTGCCATATTAAAAACACACAGGGCTTAATATCACTTGAATGACTAGTTACCAGGGGGTAGTTGCTAGGACTGATTAGTGATTCATCATTTTATGTGTACACACACACACAGAAACTGGACAGAGCTGCCAAGTTAAAGCCATCATCACCTAAACAGGGAAGACAACACGGTTGTAATTTTTCTCCCAGAAATAAAATATTTCAGGTAAAACGATTTAGATTTTTTAAAAATGATAACAGTAAGTGACACACATGGGGCGGGTGTTTTCACAATGCACATAGAACCCTATTTGAATTGGGCACTCATGGGGTTGCCAATGAAATACTATAGGTTAAAATGATTGATATTTTAAAGCAGAAAGGATGGTACTCAATAAAATAGTTTCACTAGCACCAATAATAAAACTAGCCCAATGAGACTTCCCACCAGATGTACCTTGCACTGTCTCTGATTTTGCTCTGAAGCATTGCAGGAACTTTCAGAACAGATTTAGGGAGCACACTGGGGGGGGGGGGGGTCCAGCACAGCATAGTAGCTCCCTAGCAGCCCACCCACTTTATCTGCCGTAACATATGGCAACAGCAATTGTTCTTGCCTGTTTTTATCTCTCTGTTCAAAGAACTACTTGAGAAGAGTGGTTGGTCCAGGCAGGATGGTGTTCAAGCAGCATTTGCACGTATATCTTTACCCACTGACCCCTTTTCAATTTTGTAACCAATGCTTTTATTTTTCACCCAAATGGAAGTCTGTGTTCTGCTGCAATTTCCCCTCTGTAAATAGTCTGGAAAGGCCATGTCCCCATGGCATGACCTGACTCTAGGCCCAATATCTTGGAAATCACACCTTTGTTGGTGACACGTGTTCACATTCATGTACACATGTAGTCAAGGATGCATTATTTGGATGTTTGTCCTGCCCTATACCTAGCCTGAAGTGGGCTGCATTATTAGACCCTATATGCATGAATTATCAGTGTTATGGAAAGTTCACTCACACATCGGGCAAAAAACAAAGCAAAACATTGGACTAAGGCAAATTTAGCATCTACTTGTCTTATACTCATCAGAGCACACTCCTCCATTGTTTCCTGAGACGGATGGATGACAACTCATGACATACAATGCCATTTATAACCCAAACCTAGTCACGCACACTGAAAAATAATTGTATAGGAATAGAAAATCAATGTTCTGATTACTCTTATACTCACGTTGTGTTGGCTTTTTGTTAGGTGGAATCGGCTTCTGTGTTACATCTTCAGGATCTGCCATATTAAAAACACACAGGGCTTAGTATAACTTCAATGACCAGTTACCAAAGGGGGCACTTGCTAGGACTGATTCAGCATTACACACACACACACACACACACACACACTGGACAGGGCTGCACTTATTTTTGCTGGTAAGATAGTTGCTTGACTGCATTTTTATTCTTACTAGACCTCACCCAGGATGTTTTGCGAAGGGTGGGTAACATATATTCATTATTTTTAAAAATACACAAAGAAACCAGATACAAGGTGTGAGCCTTTGCTGCTCATTTGCACAATGAGTAAAGTAGAGCTGTGCCAAACCCTAAACTGGTCATCCGAAGGGGGTAGGAGGCAAAGCAAAGTTTGTGCCAAAGCAGGGGGTGGGGAATGGAAGGTAGGAATTCACTTTGGACAGTGCACATGGTCAAGCTTTAAAGACCACACCTTGTGTGGGTGTGGGTGTGCATGGGGGGGGGGCGTGAACTGAAAGAGCTGCTTAGGTTCCCACAAGGGATTTGTGCTAGCTCAGAATAAATGTTTTCACCTGGGTGTGGGGGGTTGAATACCAAACTATATTTGCAATTCCCATCACTTTCAAAAGCAGTTGGGCAAGAGGCTACTGCTCCCCCAGCCCCTGTGCCAGCATGTCTAAAGCCCCTTAGGCTCACATAACTGAGTAGAGGTGTGCACTGACCATAAGATTTAGTTCAGCCTCAAATCCATCTGAATCCAGTGTACACCCTGGTAATTAGTTTTCCAGCTCTCTTGAATATATAATGCTGTGCTGGTATGTTAATCACAGCTCAATCTCATGGCACTGCAGATTTTTACATTAAAGTAATTTAACATTTCCTTCCCCTCCTACCCTCAATTCTACATTATCCACCTTGTTTAAAATTATTGGGCTCTATAAATCAGCATTATCCCTCTTGATTTATCAAACTGAGATAATGCAGCATGATGCATCTGAAGCTAAGACAGGGTTAAGATCTGATTTAGACTAAAATCTACATCACAATATCATGGTTACTATAAAACCCATTAAATATTCTTAAGTTTACTTCATTAGGTTGTAATTAACTTACCGCCAAATGCATCTGCCGAGTCAAAATCTTGTCCTGTAAAATTAAAATATTTGCTTATTTATAAATATATTTGTATGCCTCTAGTCAAAGGAAAAAATAAGTCCAGTGGCGGAAGACTCTGGGGTTACGGCATTCATCTCGCTTTACTGGCCAAGGGAGCTGGCGTTTGTCTGCAGACAGCTTCCGAGTCATGTGGCAGGCATGACTAAGCCACTTCTGGTGAACCAGAGCAGCACACGGAAACGCCGTTTTACCTTCCTGCCAGAGTGGTACCTATTTATCTACTTGCACTTTGACGTGCTTTCGAACTGCTAGGTTGGCAGGAGCTAGGACCGAGCAATGGGAGCTCACCCCGTTGCGGACCCTAGGCTCTGTGATTTAGACCACAGCACTACCCACGTCCCATAGCCGCCATACATACATACAATAAAAACAACATAAATATTTAAAATCAGAGATCATCAATAGTTTCTTAATTGCTTGCACAAACTTGGTGACATAGAACTTTTTCCAGCACATGTTTAAAGGTTAAAACAAAAGGTGACTGCTAGGTCTCTGTTGGAAAAGCATTACACAGGCTCAGTTTCCTGTCACTGTTAGATTAACCTCACCCACTTGGGAACAACCAGTGGTGATCCTGCAGATGGTCTTAGTGATTTGGCTGGGATACAAGGCTTCAGGTGGTCCTAACATGGGCCTAAGTTGTTCGGGGCTTGATAATGCATAGACCGTAAACCTGTCTTGGTAGCAGCCACTGTGGGTGTTATACAAATGGTTTTTCATGTTGTCAACCACATGCCCCCACCAGCAGTCTGGCCACCACATTCTGCACCACCTGAAGTATCTGAACCAGAAGACAAATTCTCATCTTCTCCTTCCTTGTTAGCACCAATATATCTGGCAGTTTAATCTTGCCAGATGTGCTGAAGGACAGTCAATAAATTGTATGGTAAACCCAAAAACAAAACTGCAAAGCTTGTGATATACGAAACCAATGGTAATAAAGAGTCTTCCCTACGGTGTAGACCTATAAAGGGCTATTGGCCAAGACTGTGTCCAGAGGCAGTTTACCTCTAAATGCCAGGTACTGGTTTCCTTTCATATCCTGCTTGTAAGCTTCTTGGAAGCACCCACTAGAAACAGAACACTAAACTAGATGACTCCTCAGTCCGTTTCCTTAAGATTGTTTATATCTAGTTGCATAGATATGCCCTATGTCACACACAAGGGGTCACCAATGTAGCATCTGTGTATACATATGTGCCCATAGCAGCTTTCGTTGCCCCCCCCCCGTCCCCTTCCACTGAAATTAAGCTTGAAAGAAGCATTTTGTTGTAGCCAGAAGAACTGGCTGCAATGTGTGCTTAGTTGTGGTGTGTGTTGCCCATGACAGTATCTTCAGGCTGCAAATGAATCCAAGGTTGGCAGGCTCTACCACATGCAAAAGAACAGTCTAAGGAAAAAATGGTCACTGCAGGGTGATTATAACAAAACACAAGAGCTTGTCCAATTAACTTTTCCATTCTTCCATTTCTTAACATGATTGAAGAGGCATTACAAGCTTGCCAAACACATATCCCTGGGCATCTGTCAACAGTACCCTTGTACCCCCAAACTTGTCTATTTCCCTTGGGTAGAACTGTGGGTTTTCAGAAGGTTCTCAATAGCAGCCCAATAGATATGCTCCCTCAACATCACCCTGCAAAGCTGGAACAGCAGGTGCTAATGCTTTGTGACCTGAGCGATCACAATTTTCTTTAAGGCAGGATGCCATCCGTCTTCTCGTACCTGCTCAGGGATTGTGTTCTCCCCAAAGCCCTGAACTTGGTGTTTAAAGGATACATGTGTCCACCCTACATGACCTCTGGGCAAGTTGTCTTTCAATCCTGCACCCAAAACTAATCCATGGATAAGTGCATGACCGCATTCATGCTGGACCTGCCCCACCCTACAGCAACTACTACTTCCAGTGTTCAATTCCACCACGCATAAGGAAAATGAAATAGAGTCTAATAATGAGATGATCCAAAAGGCAGCAGCTTCTGTTCTAGCCTTATATGGATATCACTGGCTGTGACATATTAATGTTTTTTATTGCTGTTATTATGATAGTGATTGTTTTAAACCATTGTTTTAAATGGCTGTAAGCTGGTGTCCAAAAATATTGTGTTCTGAATAGTAGTTAATAAATCTATTAAATAAAATAATATAAAGGCCTGCTGATGAAAGCAGCAGGAATCAGTACAGTGGTTGGATGAACACATTATCAATTTTTATTTTCAGCCATAGACAGCCAATTAGGGTGCAGGTATGTGTGAAAAACCATTGGTATGTTGATAAGGTGCCTTGTTTTCGGTGGGTTTTCTCCAACTCAAAACTAATGTTTAAAAACACATACGGTAACTTATTTCCTGTCCAGTTACAAATAGAGATTTATCAGTAAGGAAAGTGCTGGGTGGGATGAGAGTTCTGTTCTGATATTGGCAGATATAGCTTGCTAAACTACTATAAAGTATGCCTAAACAGCTCAACACCATTCAATTAAAAATAACATGGTTCCCAACTTTTCTTAAAAAATTGAAAGAACTTCTAAAAATCAGGATAGTTGTGTTCACAAAAGGATCCCTTATACCCACGGAGAAGAGTCAGGATCCAGCCCAGTGAGATTAACACCAATGAAAACATTGTGCCACCTTTTACCTTTTCAACAAGCAAAATCAAACATCAATTTCAAATGACTGGAGGGGGGTAATATTTAACCTCTCCCTCCTGCCCCCTTGCATTTTGATCATTTTTGTTGTTGCAATTTTCTCTGAGTTTCATTTGTCATCTGCAATCCATTTAGCAACAGAGGCACACCAAAACCACTGGGTATGGGATTTCAGAACGATGAAGTGGGGACACCCTCCCCGCTAATGAGTAACAGACTGGAATGCCTTTGCCATATCACCTCTGCAAAACAGCTCAATAGAAAGATCTGGACATTTGGACACCTTTAAAGCAGAGGGACTGGCATACAAGCATGACTCATATGAGAATAACTGACAGCTTGCAACAGCATGAGTCATCTCGTGCTACGCAGAAATCTGTGGGCTACCCAATGAGGCAAAAACCCTGGCAGGATGTTTACACACGCTGCCAAGCAGCCCTTTATAATTAGCTCTGCAGCAACATACCATGAAGTTGGGAAGAGTCGACGCTGCACTGCAGATTCAAGAAAGTGTGCACCACACAGACTGCTTCTATCAGCACACTGCTCCAAGCTAAAAAGCTGCTGTTGTACTAATTTTCTGTCCAAGGAAAAAGTTATCTCAAAGCCCTTTTTAAGATGCAAGGGATCAAAAATGTACTGTCCGAATAGCCTTAAGTTAGGAATTGCCAAGCTTAGGAGACAAAGCTTTTTCATAGATTCAAGTACTACAACTCCAACTGCATCTACATGCTTTCCTACGAATCTGAAATCCCATGCCTCTGCTACTTCACTTTCCCTGTTTTTAACAAGTTACCATGCTGCCAGCTGCTTTTGGGTCTACACTAGGCTCCTTCCCATCCACCAAATCACTAAACTAATCTGTGTTACTTCATTCTACTGTGTCTTTCAGCAGTTTGAATCACTGCCTTTCAGGCCTTTTTTAAAGGAGGAGCCCAGCTGGGGCAAATGCTTAACTTTCCACACATACATACACACAGCAAGTCACTCTGCAAGACCACCTTCTGGGTTGGGATCATGAAAACATATCCCCTTTTCACCAGAAATCACTCCCCCTTTGGCATGCTGATAGTGCACTTTTACCGCAGAGGGTGAGGGGCGGTGAATGTGGGGGTGAAACATTTAATCCCTTGTCCACACTGGCCTGATCCAGATTGGGGCCTCATGTTGTTTTTTGTGGAAAAAATAAAAATAGCAGCGCCCAGTACTAAAAGTACCTTTTTTGGGGGGGAAGCATGATTAACTTAATGTGTCCCCTTTCCAATGATCAGGTTCTTTTCCCAATAAGGCAGTAACACTAGTCAGTGAAAATTTACCCCAGGTATTTTGGGGTTGTCCTGTTTTGATCAGCATATTAATCAACACAGTCCATTAACTCATTTCTCCCCTCTTGCCACATCTCTAGGTAACCATTAGCTCAGCTGATATAATGGCTGAAGACAGAGCCAGTACCTTAGTTACAGCCCCAGACAATAGAGGTAAAGAATACTTACTAGCTCAGCTGTAAGACAAACTTTATATTAGATATATGCAGAAGGAATGCTGTACTTTCAAGTGAATCTAACATCTAAGTATAAATGGCTGCTCTCCATCTCAAAATATAGATGACAATCATTTGTTTAAACTCAAACAATGACTGCCCAATATCAGAAGAAAGTAGAAGTTCCATGAGTTGCTCAATGGGAAATGAAATGCCGGTCTCTTGAAATGTCTGAAATTCAACTATTTGATGGAGGGTAAAAAGAAATGTGCAATGTAACACATATCATATGGAATATTTTTTATGAACTAGCAGACAATATGAACTAGATGAACCAATGATCTGACTCAGTATAAGACAGCTTCTTGCACTCCTGTTGTCTGTTGCCAGTGTTAGGAAAGAGATTGCAATTTGCAAGAGTGGCTAAAAGGGTCAGTAAGTACCACTGACAGAAGTGTTTGCACAACTTCAGAGTCTCTTTGTGTGGGGAGTGGTGTTGGGGGGGAATCACTGCTTTGAACTGTGAACAGCAGGTAGCCTTCTGGCCCTTAGGTTAGCTTTTCCAAAGTTAGAAGTGCCAATGCCACAGTCTGTCAGCTATGAACTTATTTTAAATAGTTTGTACATCTCCCTTCCTCCTAAGAATGTTTAACTGCCTTGGCTAGACATAAGCAGTAAGGGAGCAGCCCAGATCACCCAAAGAAGCGTACTCCAAAAGAGGAGAGGGCACCACCAAAAAGGCCCGCCATGGAAAATCAATTCTCAGGCAGGATTCTATGGAGAAGGGCACCTGGCAGGTAACCTAGTCTTTAAAAGCCATGTAAGGCTTTTTATATGTCAGAACCAACACTTTGAATTGCACACAGAAAGGTACAGGCAGCTGATGCAGTTGACACAAAAGGAGGAGGTATACTGAGTCCTATAGAAACTAGCTTCTAACATAACATAGTGTAAAATGTAAGAGCCCCACTGGAACATAACCAAGGTCCATCTTATCTAACATTCTGTTCGCACAGTGGCAAATCAGAAACACAGCACCATGAGCACTGATCACTGAACCATTTCTAAATGCATTGTTGTGACTGGGTTAAGAGCACAGTACTTATTTTGGAATACAGTTAGCTGTTCAAGAATCCTATCCTTAAGACTTTTCTGATACTTTAATGCAAGGCTAAACTTTCATAAATTAACACTTGCACCTCCCACAAAAAAATGAAGGCCATGAGGCATGCCAGACTGATTTGACTTATTCATCTGTAGGAATACTACCCAAAATTGATTGCAGCCAAGACCTTGACAACATGATTTGGGATTTCCCTCGTCTCACTGAGACTCATGATGGAATACATACTTTCGCATGGAAGGGGAATAACGCTGTCTCAAAAGACAGCCTATAGTTTTTTTTCCAATTTCCCCATAGTCTATATTTATACTCCAATAATTTAGTAATAGTGATGGGAGTGCAAAATTTTCTGCAGAAAGATGTCCATTGCAAAAGTTTTATTTATTTACTAAATTTATATACCACCCTATACCCGAAGGTCTCAGGGTGGTTCACAGAACAAAATCAGAATATAAAACCACAAAATATATAATCAAAATAAAATCAACAACCTAATAACCCACCTTCCAAAAAAACCTCCACATTTTAAAAGGGCATAGGATGTCCAAATCAACCAAAGGCGTGGTTAAAAAGGAACGTTCTTGCCTGGCCCCTAAAAGTGTATAAGGAAGGCGCCAGGCAAACTTCCCTGGGGAGAGCATTCCACAGATGGGGGAGCCACTGCAGAGAAGGCCCATTCTTGTGTTGCCACCCTACAGATCTCTCGAGTTAATTGGTAACAAAGAATGGATGCCAATTGCAGATGCATTATTAGGCAAACTTGGTCATTTCAAAGGAGCTCTTTTGGGCTTTGTATACCAAATAAGGGCAAAACAGGCATGCTAACTAGATCAGTATTAGGGCATCAGCAATTTTTCCACTACAAATTATCCATATTTGCACTGATTATTTTCAGGAAAACCTACACCACCATGTTGTAGTTAACAGGAATGTATCCAATAGTTTCACTTCTGTTAATGGAAGACGCTTCCAGCCATGGAAGGAGAACGGAGGCCCAGCTATTTCACAAGTCAACAGAATATCTTTAAATCAAATCTGTAACTGTATCACTACAATCAGTTAAGAATGCAATAGGTTTCCAATTCTATCTTACTGGGTGTTTTTTTTAATCTTTACAATGCTTATTGCATTGTGTGAGTGCCACCTGTCTTCCATGACGTCATGGAAGCCAAGGTTTCCCAAGTACTGACAAGATCCAGACCTTCTTAGCTTCTCCAAGGCATCATGTGCCCTCCTCAGCCAGATGCACAGAAAGATACAGCACCTAAGATGATGCCCAGGCTTTTAACATGGCAGTCTTACCCACACTGGAGTGTGATACAGTTTCATTCTGGTAACACCAATGCATATCTGCAGACAGCACTTAATGCGAAGCTTGTGCTCATTGTTGACTGTACGGTTCAGTGCTGAATGCCTCTCTCTTTATTTTCTTTCACCTGCCATCATCATCCATTGCTTCCTTCCCCCCTGGAAATGGGCTATATTCCTTGCACAAGTGGGGGAAAGGAATGAGGAGAGAGCAGGTGGACCATTTGCAATCCACAGGATAAACATACCCAGTAAACACAAAGCTGCTGGCAAAAGTTCAAGGTTTATTCAATAAGGGTTGAGGAAAACAAACATCTGGAATGAATTGCCTAACAGCTTGTCTTCCAACAAAGATGCTGTTTCTCCTTTTTGTTCTTTTGACAGCAGTTTTGTAGGGGAAAGACCCTATACTTAAAGCAGCTAATGCACTGCTGTTGCCTTGTGAGCTTACAATACCTGCATTTATGCTTTCATTTACCTGTACTATGGACAGGCGGCTGGATTAATTTAATTGCTGTATTTTTAGGATTTTTCCTATAATACATATTATTGCATGTTGCCAGTTCAGTAAAAAGGTAATGGTAAAGGGACCCCTGACTGTTAGGTCCAGTCGTGAACGACTCTGGGGTTGCGGCGCTCATCTTGCTTTACTGGCCAAGGGAGCTGGCGTACAGCTTCCGGGTCATGTGGCCAGCATGACTAAGCCACTTCTGGCGAACCAGAGCAGCGCACGGAAACGCCATTTACCTTCCCGCCAGAGTGGTACCTATTTATCTACTGACACTTCGACGTGCTTTCGAACTGCTAGGTGGGCAGGATGCCAGTTCAGTACTAACATATTTATACCCTGCTCCTCTTCTTTTATCCCCAGAACAATAAACATAAAATACAATAATGCTAATATTTCTGCTAAGCTGTCCTGTTTTAAACATCCCTGCACCAATAAGATTCCCACTTGCTAACATAACTGGAACCTGATGCATAACCAGGTGGGCAATAGCTAAATGGTAAGGCAACCTCTGCTAGGACAAGCAGCTCACACAGTAATTCTGTGACGTGGGGCCACAACTCAGTGGCAGAACAAACTCTGCAGGCAGAAGGTTTCAAGTTCAATCCTTGGAGCTTCCAGGCATGGTTGGAAATGTCCCCATTCTGAAAACTTGGGTGAGCCATTGTGGGTCAGTGTAGGCCAGGGATGGGGGAACCTCATGCGTGGGGACTAAATGCAACTCCCCAAGCCTCTCTCCAGCTCTCAGGACTCTCCCCAGGCCAGCCCCCAGCAGCCATGCTTGTTGTCCATTTCAAGTGCTTTTGCCTGGCTGAAATGAGTCCTTGAACCAATGCCTCTTGCTGGACTGAATGGAGAAGTGTGTGCAAAACCCAGGCATTCTGTGGCTGGAATACACCCTACTGTACGAAGACAAGAGTCATCTCCATTGCTCTGCCATTTTGCCTCTGCTCCTGGCCACTGCTGGCATGCAGCCCCCAGAAGGCTGCCACGAGGGTATGAAGTCCTTGGGCTGAGAAAATTCCCCACCACTGGTGTAGGCATAGGCAATAGATAGATGGACTAGAGCTCTGACACAGCAGAAGGCATGCTTTCTATGTTCCTAACTGCTCCCATTCATCATTGCATTTTATTGCTTGGTCTCACTCCTAATTGAGGATTTTGCCTACAGAAGCAATAGACAACCATCTATGACAACTCGCACAACAGCTGCTCTCTATTCCCCCATGTTTCACTTGTCATACTGTAGTCTCATGAATAACACAAAAAGTCTCTCTAAGTATCCAGAGGAAGTGCTGCATCTTGCCTGTGCTTATGAAGCATGCACATGCACTGGCAGGTTACCAGCTGACAAATATTAATTTATACTTGCCCACTGTTGCAAGGAGAAGTGAGAAAACATTTAATTGCAAAATGTTATGTGTACAGATTACTTCCCTGTCAACCTACATGCTACTGTAGGACTCTGTTGTTTGATAGTTGGTAAGGAAATGATTGATATGCCTAACATAAGTGAACAGTCATAACATTTCCAGTGAGGTGGTTTGCTCAGAGTGGTACATGTCACACAGAAGTTGGATCCAAGTACAGTACTTACATGTATGCAAGTCAGTTCTAAAATTGTTTATTGGAAAACTATAATGCTCACTTTAGGAGCAGGAAGATGAATGGTTTGGGCCGAGAAAGACTGTAAAGTTCAAGGCAGCCATCCCAAGCATATTAGCCAGATACAGGTATCATTGAAATCTAGATTTATGTCCAAATAAACTTGTTTAGGTGGTGGATAATAAACTATGGTATTAAACTTTTTTTAAGGTCTCTAATAGAGTAAGGATTCCCTATGTTCTCCTAACAAAAAGTAAATGCATTTTTAAAACTTGGTCCTGTCACAGAGAACTATGCTGTAGTCAAAAAGTTGTGTAACTAGCTGCGCTGCCTAAAATGGGAATTTATCTGGGCCAGAATTCCAAAATGGAAAGGCATTCAAGGAAAGCTATTTCCCTGTCTGGTTAAACTTAATGCAATTAGAGCAAAACAACTGCACTGCTCAACTTGTTATACGTTCAACTTCAACATTGCTCAGCTGCAATGTTCAAGGAGTGCTTTTGGTCAAGTCAGTAGAATATTTTAGACTAACCTAACTCAGTGGGTTGTTCTAAGGCTAAGAGACAAACTGAACATGATGCAAAGAGGAGGAGGCATGTGATAGAACATTTTAACCCTTTGCTCTCTGATGCTTTTTCACCTCCACACACACAGCGTGGTGCAGCAACCCCCTCCAGCGCCTGGGGCAGACCACAGTTGCTGAGTTTGTTTAGGGCAGTCACTGATTTCAGGGATGGGAAGTGGTTCCACCTCCCCCTGCAGCACCCGAAATGCCCAGGAACCGCTGTGCTACCTGCAAGCTCCCCTGAGGCACAGAATCCCACCCCTACCCCCAGGTACAGCAGCTCCCATGCCACGCTCCCGTGCTGCCCTATAGACCCCCGTGACACCCTTTGTTATTGTTTAGTCATGTCCGACTCTTCGTGACCCCATGGACCAGAGCACGCCAGGCACTCCTGCCTTCCACTGCCGTGACACCCTACAGCCCCCCTACTCCCGGTGCAGACCACTAACTATGTTATTGTCCACACATAGCTGCTTGTAGTTCATGGGGGGGGACAGAATAAATGAAGCTAAACACAGCTCCAGGACAAATTGCAGATGTGCAAAAGCAGTAGAATGGAAAGGGTTAAAATGTTCCCCCCTCTCCCACAGGGCATTGCAGCTTGAGAGACTATTTTAGATAAAAAGAAAGAAAAATATCATGTGCAGCCTGAGCAATAACCAATGCTCTGATCTCCAAGGAAGAAAGTCCTGTTACAAATGGTTTTTTAAAAATAATGATGATGATGACAATGATGATAGAATAATATGCTGTAGAAAAGACAATTTTGTTCTTCCAGTACATCAGGGCTGCTTCAGACAAAGATTACCACTTAAGTGTGAATATATTGTCATACTTAAAACAGCACTCTTAGATCTACTCCACCACATACAAGACCAAAACAGCTGTATGCATCCTTCACCTATGGGTGTGCACATGTTTTTTCCAAAAACTGTGATGATTCCGGGGGGCAGGGTGTCCCCAGATGTCACAGGAGGATGGAATTCTAGCATCATGTGCACCCCCTCCCAATTATTGAATCACATAAAGGGCAATTCCAATCCTCATAATAAATATCTTCCAAAGAAGTCAGCTCAAATAATGTGACTAGAAGTCACAGTTAGTCCATAACTCAGGCTTCCTCAACCTCAGCCCTCCAGATGTTTTTGGCCTACAACTCCCATGATCCCTAGCTAGCACGATCAGTGGTCAGGGATGATGGGAATTGTAGTCTCAAAACATCTGGAGGGCTGAGGTTGAGGAAGCCTGCCTTAACTGGACCCGTTGTATGTTAATAGTCTGCTAATAATACTGCATTTTCTATACTTGTGGAATGGTTATTCCAAAGCCATGGAAAATCCTCCTTCAGTACCCCTGTACTATTCAACAACAACATAGCTAAGCCAAAAGCAGACATAGGTTGCAATCCTAAATGCACCTATTATGGAGAAAGGCCCCCTAAACTCAGTGAGACTTCCCCCTAAGTAAACCTATATAGGGCTGCACTCTATATTGCCTTTCCCCCAGTGAAAATATACAAGTCCAAAGAATATTAGGTTGCAGTTAGGCCTACCCCATAAAAGTATAATAGATTTCAAGGCTACCTTCCTATTTGTTTAGGATGTTAATTCAGTGGCAAATAAATAAACGAGAGTCTGGCACGACCAGCCAACAGGAAGAATGAATTCCCACAAATACCCTCCAGTTCACACTTTACCCTAAGTTCCCACCCAGCCACCTTACACAGCACCGTTCGCTCTGCATCGGAATAGGCACCACCAAGTTTATAGTACCAGGTCCTTAAACAACTGGGGAAAGGCTCCATACAAAGACCTGTGGACATGTCTAACAGGGAAGTGAAGCCAGAAAACAGTGACATCTCTTTTGAATGTAGACAAGATGCAGGCAGAATTCCCTCTCCTTTCAGAGCAAGCTTAAGGGGTGAAGTGGGAGAATAATTCCACAATATTGGGACAACACCTGGGTACCACAGGAGCCAACTCCTAGGGGCCAAGGTGTAGCCAGGATTTTTGTTGGGGGGGGATAGACCTTTGTTGCGGGGAGCAGGCCTATTGCATGGCGGGGAGAACCTCAGTTAGCTATATATTTTTATTTCTATTGATTTTGGGGGGCAGCTGCCCCTCCCTGACCCCCCTTGGCTATGTCCATGGGCTGCCCCCATACTTGAGGGGGCCAGGGCCCCCCAAGTTGATGGGCACTGCCACTCAAATGGTGTGGGTGTGCCCCACCATGTGATTGATTGGGTGGGGCAGGGTTTACCTCCCCCCCCAATATTTTATTCAACCTGGCATCCCTGTGGGTGTGATCCTGACCATGTGGCCTAAAGATAAACCATCAGCATATTCTTCTTGGAAGTGTGTCCCAGACTCTAATGTTTAATTGGGTTTTTATTATTATTATTATTGCCCACTATGTTTTCAGTTGTTCTTATTTTATCTGCCTTGTGTCCCTATCAGGGGAAAAGGCAGGGTGTCCCTAAATACACAACAAAAACAACTTGCTTACAGCCCAATTTGGGTCAAACGCCTGTCACCCCGTTGCGATTCCCACTCCCCCCCCCAAAAAAAAAATCCTTCTAGGATCCATTTGAGCAGTGATTTTTTTTCTGGGAAAAAAAATGTTTAGGGGTAGTCTCATTTGGACTCCAGATGCCATTTTATAGTTCAAATCGGGAAAAATAAATGCGGTAAATGGACAAAAGGACAAAAAACCCACAAAAATTTTAGGGGTATGCGTACCCCCAGAAAAAAAGCCCTGCATCTGAGCCGGGGACTCTTTTGGTAAGCCGAGCCTTCGAAGAAGAGGCTTCCCTTCGCCCGCTCCTCGAGGCTGGCAGCACAAAGGCGGCGGGGAGCGGCGCTGCGGCGGGCAGGGGTGGGCGTCCCTTCGGCGCCTCCCGTCGGGGCGCGGCTGCTGCTGCTCCCCTTTTCCTGCCGCTCTCCCGGAGCCTTTGTTCGAGCTGGGGGAGAGAGGGACGGGCAGCGCCCCGCGTCGAAGGCTAGAGGCGCACGAGGGGGAAAGGGCCGAGCAGCGCTCCTTACCTCGGCCGCGTCCCGCCAGCAGCACCAGCGCGGCGAAAGGCACCAGGAGGGCGAGTCTCGTCATGGTCCCGCCGCCGCCCGCCGAGACTTGAGGCGAACTTCGCGGCGCTCCCACTCCCTGCTCGGGTCCTTTCCTTGTTTTCCCCCTCCCCTCAGAGGATGGCGCGAGCGACCCCGGTTCCCGCGAGCTCCCGCCTCGCCCTCTCCGCTTCAGCTGCAAAACAAGCGGCCCGCAACTTGCAGCCCCGCAGCCAAAAAGGGGACTCGGAGCGGCGCTCGCTCGGAGACCCGCCCCCGAAAAGAAGGACGACCAATGCGGAGTGAGCGCCGAGCTCCGGCAGCCAATGGAAGGAGAGGCGAGGGAGAGCACCGCCTACCCCGGTGGCCAGGAGAAGACACCAGCGTTGAGTCATGCCCCGAAGTAATAGGAAACCCGCGGGCAGCCGCCGGCTCGGGTGTGGCGCAGCTGGGCTTTCTTCCATCTGCGAAGGGAGCGGTGTGTGGAATCGCAGGCCTGCTGCTCAGATCACAGCAGAAGAGGCCCGGATTTGGCTAGAGATTTGGCTAAACGGAGAGTTTGGCAGGGCTGAGGTGGGCAGGCCAACGGGGTCATCTTGTGTCCGCATGTGGCTGAAGGGATGGCTCGGAGATCCCGCCGTTGACTTTCGGAGAGGCTCGGGTTTAAATCCGCCCTTATCTCCAGAGTTCACACGCGCAGCCTGAAATATTGGTCTGATGATAAACTTGGGAGGAGAGAACCACGTGCGCGATCTTCAGCTGGTTGTCAGAAATGCAAGATATAAATGCAATACATATGATAAGCCATTGCGCTCTGGATGTTGTGAGGGCAGGCCAGCCTTATATATGTTGTAGCCGACAGACCCATCGAAACGAATGGACACAGCTAACTTACGATACGATACGATACGATATCTTTATTGTCATTGTCCCTTGCAGAACAATGAAATTGAAAACTACATAAAACTACATAAAAACTACATAAAACTACCACAAAACTACATAAAACTACTACAAAACTACATAAAACATTCAAAAACCCCATTTTAAAACACACTATACTACAGAAACCCCTTATGCTGCATTTAGAACCAGAATTGCATTAGCGTAGAAACTGTTTTTCAGGCGGCTAGTCCTGGCCTTTATAACCCTATACCTTCTTCCAGAAGGCAGAAGCTGAAAGAGAACATTTCCGGGGTGCGTACTATCATGTGCTATCTCTGCCGCTTTCTTATGGCACCTGGCAGCATAGATTTGATCTAAGATGGGAAGAGTGCACCCAATAATTCTCTCTGCAGTCTTTACAACCCTGGATAGCATTGTTTTTTCCCTGGCCGTGCAGCTCCCAAACCACACGCACAGACCATAAGTTAGTACGCTCTCTACAGTGCAATGGTAGAATGCCATCAACAGGTCCTTTGAGAGATTGTTTTTCCGGAGGATTCTCAGAAAATATAACCTCTGCTGTGCTCTCTAAACCAGGTCTTTGCTGTTCTCTCCCCAGGTTAGGTCGTCTCTCAACTCCATTCCCAGAAATCGAAACACTGAGACCTGTTCCACGCACTTCCCCTCAATAATAAGTGGCTGAATATTCAATTTACATTTCCTAAAGTCCACAATGATCTCTTTTGTTTTCTTTAAGTTAAGCAGTAAGTTGTTTTTCCTGCACCACTCCCCCAACTGCTCAACTTCCTTCCTATAGGCCGTCTCCCCCTCTCCAGCCGTAATTAAACCAACCACCGTTGTATCATCTGCGAACTTCATGATCTTATTAGTGGGGTATTTGGGGGCACAGTCAGCTGTATAGAGCGTGTATAAAAGCGGGCTCAACACGCACCCCTGAGGCATCCCCGTATTCGTGATGAGATCCGCAGAGACGTGGGAACCCAATCTGACCCTTTGGGAACGGTTTGATAGAAAGTCTAATATCCACCTGCACAAACATGGTGGAAGTCCCAGGTCTAATAATTTGGGCACCAATCTATGCGGAAGAATAGTATTAAATGCAGAACTAAAGTCTACAAATAACAGTCTCGCGTAGTTCCCTTGCTTCTCCAAATGAGTCAGGACAGCATGTAAAGCCATTGCCACAGCATCCTCTGTGGATCTCTTTGCCTTGTACGCAAACTGGTAAGGGTCAAGTCCCACTGGCAGACAAGATAAGATGCGCTTCTGGCACTTCTGAACCTCTTCTGGCAGGTTACATCTAGCTTAGGGCCAATTATTTCAGTGGGTCTACACTGACCCACTCCCTTTAGTTGACACAACCCTTTGAGACAACCTAGTAGAAGAAGAAGAAGAGTTTGGACTTGATATCCCGCCTTTCACTCCCCTTAAGGAGTCTCAAAGCGGCTAACAATCTCCTTTCCCTTCCTCCCCCACAACAAACACTCTGTGAGGTGAGTGGGGCTGAGAGACTTCAGAGAAGTGTGACTGGCCCAAGGTCACCCAGCAGCTGCATGTGGAGGAGCGGAGATGCGAACCCGGTTCCCCAGATTACGAGACTACCGCTCTTAACCACTACACCACACTGGCTCTCAGTACAGTGGTACCTCAGGTTACATACGCTTCAGGTTACATACACTTCAGGTTACAGACTCCGCTAACCCAGAAATATTACCTCGGTTAAGAACTTTGCTTCAGGATGAGAACAGAAATCATGCTCCGGCAGCAGCAGGAGGCCCCATTAGCTAAAGTGGTGCTTCAGGTTAAGAACAGTTTCAGGTTAAGAACGGACCTCCGGAACGAATTAAGTACTTAACCCGAGGTACCACTGTAGTGTTAGATCTGTGAGGGATGCTTCACACAAGCCAGACATCTTATCAAGTGAGGATGCTTGAACCTCTTCTGGCAGGTTACATCTAGCTAATATAATAACACAGACTGCACATGCTTAGATCAGAGGTGCTGTCTTAGTAAAAATAGGTATGGGGAATTTGTCCTTCAGATGCGGCTAGACTACAACCCCATCATCTCTGAGTACTGGCCATTCTGACTGGGGATGATGAAAGTTAGGTGTTTGGCAATACCCGGAGGGCCAAAAGTTCCCTAGCTCTGGAACAGGAAAAAAAAAAAGCTGGTCAAATTCGGTCTTAATTTATGGAGTGGTTGCTAGTGAGCATAGCAAAGTATTGTTGCCTGGTAGGCATCATGTCTTTGAATAGCACTGAGCTATTTATTTTATTTCATAAAATTTATACATCACTTAATTGTAAAAAATAAAATAAAGCCTCAGAGCGGTGGCTATGGCCTCTCCTCTGCACAGACAAGGTGCAGAGATATTTTATACTATAGAAAGTTACAAATATTAAGTTCTCTCATAAACTGAACTTCAAAAATGATTATTTAGTGGATTTGATTTCTCCAGCTCCAGGAAAACACTAGTGTGGGTGGGTGGTGTTTTTGTTTGTGCTTAACAATTAAAATAATTCCAGAGTTATTTGTCACCAACTAAGTTTACTGGACTGTTACACTCTGACCCAACCTTTCTCCCCTGTTGGAAAGCATTATACAGAGTTTGTGCCAGCATTATTCAAGGATCTCCCGTTCCGTACTATGGATTTAAAACATTGTTTTGTTTGGCAAAAGGCAGGCCCATGTGTTTTATTCCCATATTATTTAATGGGTTTATTTGCCAAAATTTGTTTCCCACCCTTCCTCCCGAAGGACCGCAGGGCAGCAAACACACCCACAATTAAAAATGAAAAAACTCTCTAAAGCAGTTAAAACATTCTAAAACAACAACAACAACAACAACAACAACAGTTACAGTTAATATGATCTTTACATACATGTCTGCCTTTCCAAAGAAGAAACAGAGTCTTATATCAGCTTGTTTGGGAGACCTAGGGAGGATAAGACTATCAGTGGCAACTAGCCATGATGGAAATGCTTTGCCTCCATAGCTGGAGACACTAATGTTTCTGAATACTAGTTGGTGGAAACCACTAAAGGGGAAGAGTTTGCTTATGCCTGAATTCTGCTTGCAGTTTTCCCACAGGAGAAAAGGAGGCTGAACTAGATGGACCATTGCCCTGATCCATCAGGCTCTACTTATGTTCGTATTGGGAGGAAAATAGAATGGGAGTTAAGTTTGTATCAGAAATGGCGAACCGTGTAGTCATACACAGTGTTTAAACAGCGTGTTTCCAAAACTTGGCACAAAGGAATTTAAGCCAAGGAAGGAACAACTCAGCATTAACTACTGAGCTGCAATGAATCATTTGGTATGACTAAATGTCACACTGTTGTCATTTGTTTTTGTCAATCTTCAGCATTTTTTTTTACAGTTAATATTGTATGAAAAAAGTGCCAAACTGTTGGTCGTTCCTGAAACAATTTTTGTTTTCTCCTATGAAATCTGGGTGCGTTTCTAAATCATTTTAATATTAGTCACCCTTTTCGCCTCATCTTCTCTTTTTCTCTTACATCAAGGACACATTTCATTACCACATTCAGTGGCATCCTAGTTCAGAACAGTCTCAGCTAACAGGTTCCTCACGAACATGTCACATGAAGCTAAGATGGGCTTTTAAGTAGCTACTTGCTTATTTGCCTGCAGTGATTAGAATCCATTCCAAGTAACCAGGCAAGCAAACAGAAAGGGAGCTGTTTTAGTTATTGCTCAAGCCACTGATTGTGCCCACAATCAACACAAATTGTTTATTTATTTAATAAATGAATCCAAGGTAAGTTCAGCTCTTTACATACAAAATGGTCCCCAAGCTTTGGAACATCCTGTCATGCTAACTAGGCTATTCAATTGCTCAGGTCTATCTCCCTCACTCATACACCTTCATCCTCCTTCACACACCTTCTGAGACAATTGTGCTGCCATAATCAGAGTCAAAATAAACTCGTCTGCACCTGCTCTCTGTCTACCTTCCTGCAGGACCTACTCCACTGAGAGTGACTGAAAGCAGTGGTTTCCTACCCTAGAGAACTGAGATCCAGGAGGAAAGAATCAAGCAAAGTTGCTCAGTGATTGCATCATGGCAGCAGTAATGGCAACAGAACTAATAAACAACCTGGAAGAATGGGGGAAGAGCTTTTGGGGGCGGGGGAGAAGGTAAAGGAAGTGCCTTTGCCATATGGGAAGAAGCATCCACTAGGGCTTTGACAACCCTTCAAAATGTCAGGAGAGAGTGACAAATATGAGTGAATGGTCTTCACAACTGAAGCTGCATCCACACTAACCTGTTTGTAGCACAGAAACTGGTATGCGGCCATCCACAACAACACTGGGCAAATATGGGTACACCCCACATCACCAGAATTGCATAAAACTGTTTTCTGATAGACACACTGCAGGGTAATGCAGCCATTTTTATTTCCAGAATAAAACCAGTTTCTCAAGAAGTACTTTTCAGGGGCAAAAGAAATGTGTGCAATAGATCTCTGGATTGTGTGTGGAATACAGACACAAGCTCCTGTGACTTCCTTTAAGCTTTGTGTGTCTCAAAGAATCTGTTGCCCGTTAGCTCCACAGGAGATACCATATCAAATCTATACTACCTATCAGTTTTTACAATGTTCAGTATAATCTAATTTGTCAGAGCTTATCTTTGGTAAAATTCTCCACCCTGCTAAAGTTTCAGAGGGTCATTGCTATAACAGAAAAGGTCAGGTGACAATGTGGAAGCGGAGCTTCTCAGTGATAGCAGCCGCCCTCTGGAATGCTCTCCCTCAGGTAATCTGCGAGGCAAAGACAGTAGTGACCTGTAATCGTCTCTTTAAAATGTCTATATTTACCCAAGCTTTCGTGGACTCTTGACTCTTAATTTCCCATGTTTTGGATTCTGCATGGCTTAGTCTTATTTGTGATATGCAGCATCATTTTGTTTTTTATTCAGTTTTTAGAAAATGTTATTGAATGTTGTACTTTTATTGGGCAGTATTCAGCTAAATAATTCTGCTGTGGAAAAATAGGGAAATTCCAAAACAGATGCATGGCAAGAAGAGATGAGGAGAAATCTTTGTGCTGACAGAATGATTTTCTTAGCACTACTCTGAATACAACCCATTGTTTTTAAGTAAACTGCCTAGAGATTTCTGTTACATTAAGTGGGATAAACGTTTTATAAATAATCTTGTTGCAGCCATATATTAGATTCCATGCATTGTGGGAAACTGTGTCTGAGCTCGTCAGATGCTGATTTAAAGACTTGTAAATGTTACCTCATCATGTCAACATAACACTTTTGGTGTCTGTTATGTATTGAAGTTCTCAGTTCTCACCCTGGCCAAAAGGAGTATTGTGTATGTAGTTTTCACTCAGGTCCATGTCAGTTACTTTAGGCGGGAAACCCTGGGTTGTTGTTGCTACAATGTTGACAGCCGGCTGCCTATAAAAGCAGGCCGGCTGAGCTGTTTGCTGTTCAGTTCTGTTCCAGCTTACAAATAAAGAGCTGCTTTGGAGAAATTGCTGCGTCATCTGCTATGTCTACCCACTATTTAACAGTGTCCATATGTGTGGCTTGGATATGATTGCCTTCCAAGTCCTTGAACCTTTAGGCACCATTAACTTTAAGCTAGCAATTTGCCTTCTTGCTAGTTGCTTCATACACTGGTGTTAATGTGTCTTCTACAAGACCCCCAGTCTTGGAGAAAGTTACAATCTCCTGTTTTGCCCAGTACCTGAGCCACCTGCTGTCCTTTCATAGATAGGTATGATACCTATGTAGTGCTTCTGGCAGGCAGGACATCTAGTTGCCCATCTCGTGAAAGGGTAGAAGACAAAGAAGTTATCACTTCTATAAGATGCTCTCTGAAGCAGCAGAAGCTTCCCTTTGCAGGAAAGCACAGGCATTTTAAATCCCAAAGACTAAATCGGAAAACAGCTGTCAGGAAAAGGAAACAATACCTGTATTCTTGTTCCCAGCTTGCTTTGAACTTTAGGGATGCATACAAATTCTGGCTGTGTTGAAGTGATGTCTTTGTGGATGAGCGAGGGAGTACAAGTTTATTCTGTGAGCCAGTTTAGGGGGAAACAGACTGAAAAGGGTGGCCTTCAGCCTTCAGGAGCAAGTGTGGGTTCCCTGTCCCAGCCTTGAAGAGCACATGATGGATAAATAAAACAACAAAACAGAGTTTGGAATCCCTTTGGATGAATGTGTGTTGGCTGCCAAACAGTGCATGTTTGCTGCTGAGTGGGTGTATGTATGGAAACAACCAGCATTGAAGGCTCGGTAGTTTTACTAACTTGCTGCCAAGCTAATAGGCTGTCTGCCTATTAAATGTAGCTCTCCGACTTCTCAAACTGTTGCCAACATTGTTGTATTTTCACTTAGCAACAGCTCGTGGGGTGGGGTGGCTATGATGTGGGACTTGAAATACTGTACTGCTTAGCTGGAGAATGGAAGAACAGCAGGAAATGATTTATCACCACAAAGAGAGAGAGAGAGGAAAATGACAGTATTGTTAAGTAACCATTTATTTCCTGTATTTTTCTGTTTTCATTTCCTTGACAAAGACAAAGGAGAAAAAAACTCTTTTGACTTTGAGAATTACAATTTCTGTTAAAGATGTGAAAATACATATCTCCAAGCAGAATTTCATTCACGTAATGACTTGAAGCATTCCCAATTAGTTTTGGTCTTTTCCTCCAATGAAACGTGCTAGCATTACCAAATTGGCATCCTCCTTCATGCCAGTGAAACACAGTGGATGAACGGTTTTGGATGTGATAGAAATCCGAGTTGTGCATCTATCCCCCCCCCCCCCAGCTTCCTGAAGCTATCAAAGAGGATGTTAGATTGTGCTCCTGGTGCTCATTGCTGAAAAATAGATGTGTTGCATTAAAGCCAAATACACTGCGCAGCCAACTGTGGCAAAGCAGCAGTTGTAGTATTCCTTGGGGAATGTTCTTATCCTGATGATTGTTCAGGGTAATGTAACTCCAAGCTCAAGTGCTTCGTGAGAAGATTTTAATTTGCAGGAGTATTCCTACATGCCACTATCATGAAAACAGTTATAACATGAAAAAGGATTTAACTCTTGCAGTTTAATTTAACTCTTAATCTCAGGGCCGTGGGTTCAAGCTTACATTGGGCCAAAGGATTCCTGCATTGCAAGGGGCTGAGCTAGATGAACCTAGTGGTCCCTTCCAACTCTGCAATTCTATGGAAAACAAACAAACAAATCAGAAATGCAAGAGTAGATCAGCACATCAGTGTCTAAATGGAAAGTACGGTAGATGTGTCTGCTTCCAATTCTGGGTGGATGATGTCATTTTATACCCTCATGACACTACAGTACCCTCCTGTTTACTGGTTTGTTTTGTTTTGTTTTGTTTTCCTCTTGGGAAGATTTTTAAAGCTATCCTTTGTGGGGGCCCATTTGCACTCACTTTCTCTTTACCACTGTCCATTACCCACCTACCAGTGGGATATTAAGCGTCTCTGAAAATATTTGAGTAGCAGCTATTAAACACAAACACACAGAAACACACACACAGATCCATCGACATCGCAACATAAAAGTACAATGAAGATGGCTGTGCGGTACCAACCCTATCGCAAAGAATGCCGAGAAGAGCGGATTACATCTGCTTAGTTAAAGGTTGCAGGTAAAAGATCATGTCCCACCTCTTCCTAAAGCTGCAACAGAGAATCTGTGGTCTTGTCAGGGACTGGCAGGCCACTAGTGATTGTGCACCAGGGGGGAAGGGGGTCTAGAGTCCTTCTTGGGAGAGGGGGTCAGTGATTTGTGGGAAACTGTACCAGCTAGGAGGCAAGAGGCAGAGGCAGGGGAAGCTTCAGCACTGGAGGGTGGAGCACAGGATGGGTCAGAAGAAAAGGAGGAAGAAGCAGTTCAGGCAAGTGAAGAGCCACGTGCTTCCCCACCCTCTCCTGCACCACTGTCTCCCAGAACCAGGAGGGGATTGAAATGAGATGAGCAGAAAAAGTTTCCATGCAGGCTCAGTCTCAGGCTGCATACATGCAGCCTGTTGGGGGAAGGTATTTAAACTGGTGGAGGGCGTGCAGCCCCCTGTTAGAATCGTAGAGTTGGAAGGGACCCTGGGGGTCATCTAGTCCAACCCCCTGCAATGCAGGAATCTTTTGCCCAACATGGGTCTTGAACTCACAACCCTGAGATTAAGAGTCGCATGCTCTACCAGCTGAGCTATCCCAGCTATTGTGACTGCTGCAACTGCTCCCTAAAGAACAGACCTGGGAATAGCTGCCTAGCCAATAGGTTGGTCTGTGTATATATCCAGAGCTGTAGAAACGACTGTTGTTATCTTTGACAATAAATAATTATCTGCCCTGCGCATTCCTTGGCTGGGAAGCACCCTTGACAGGTCTCCTGGATGCTGTTGGGCACATGGGCAATGGTCAGAGATGACAGAAGTTGTAGGTCAGCAACCTCTGGAGGGCACAAGATGGGGAAGATAATGCAGAATGCTGGAGGACCAACCTGTTCTAAAGCAAATGGGGGGAAAACTGTGTTTGGCTCAATTCTTGTCGTAGCCAAGGTTGTATACATGCCATACATTTAAAGCACATTCTCCCTGCCCCACTCCAAACCCTGGGAGCTGCAGTTTACTCATTCACAATGCTACAGTTCCCAGCACCCTTAACAAATTATAATTCTCATGATTCGGGGATGCAGCCCAAGACAGCAACGTTGCCACATCAGTTTTATATGTGGGGTTTTTTTTTATTTAAGCAAACAAAGATAAAGAACAATCTGAAGGTTATAGAACCTTCATTTGAGTTTTTCTTGTAATGATTTTGTTGTGTTCCCCTGCCTCAAGATCATAGACATAGCAAGGCACAAAAGAACTGAATGCAAATTGCCGCGTTGTTCAGCTTGAAGGAGAAATACAGCCCCATGCCTGCTGACCTTTTCCGTCCACATTACACTAGGCAGTAATGATAAGCAGTAAAGATCATTACTAAAACAACCCTGGGGCTTTCTTTTCTTTTGCACACAATTGTTACCCAAAGCAAGATAAAGTGTATAAAGAAAAATACAGATTGTGTACATTCCTGGAACATCAAACTGCTACCGAGTTTGAATAGCAAGCATAACCGCAATTGTACAAAATGCTCCAGAGGGCTGATCTGTGATTTTTTTAATCCGTCGACTTCAGTGCGGAAACTAGCCAACCATGGTGATCAAAGTCACATTAATCTGGTCATTAGTTCATGACTCATACATATATTCAGTTATATATTTTTTATATTATCCGAAATTGTGTTTTGGAAAAAAATGACATCAGCAGGCAGCAATGAAAAGCCATTTGAGAGAGAGAGAGAAGGAGAGAGAGAGAGATTTGCATTAAAAACAGATTACTTTTTTCCAAGTGCTACTCAGTCTTCTGCCTATCCCTTATTCCCCTTAACTCCTTTCGCAGCATACTTGTGATAACTAGCAACCTGCCTGTCACTGTGCTTTGAAATTCTTTAGTGGAGCACAGCCCAAGGTGGGAATTCCCAAAGAAAATCTGTCCATGTTTAAGTAACTTAAAATAAATCAACAACTGTCCACCCCTTGAACCAATTTCCTCACATTTCAGCTAAGACTGAGGTGTGGCCACCTTGTCTCAGGTGCATATGAACAACCAAGTTTTCTATCATTTCAGTTCAGTTCATTGCCCTCACAGATGTGACTCATTGGTTTTGAATTTTCCTGCCTTTTTTCTGTTCTGTACATCTCTCCCCGCCTTCTGCCAGGGTGGAGTAAGAAGGGAAAGCAAGCTCACTTCATACATTGCATGCTCTTCCATTCACAGAGCAACACCGTGCACTGCGTTTTCTGTGCTGTGATAGGGGAGTTTTAACTTGCGGTAAATATTAATGAAAAGCAAAATCTCTGGCTAGATTATATCAAGGCAGAACAACCAAAGTATAATCATCTTACAGCTGTACAAGTTGTCAGATTCCTGAAACCTGTTCTTCGCATACCAAGAGAAGGCTTGTCAACAAACTACCTTCTTTTTCTTGACAGATGTGCCAGGTTTTCAAAGACCGCTGCACTCGTACCAGTGAAATCATGAGCGGATATGATCAGAAATGCCAAATGAAGCTGAATTTGTTTATCAAGAGTTAGATTCAGGGTTAGGTTGAGTCCATGCCATTGCCAAGCAGAAGGACTGAAGGCAGATAGATGTCAGTACTGTTTAAAACTGTTGACAGTGATGAAAAAGATTTGATCTGAAATACATACCCATGTTTGGTAAGAAAATATGATCCTGCTCTTCCCATACAAAGGACAGGATGAGGACTGATCCTGATGTCTCAGGCACATAGCAATGAACCTTTTTGAGGCTGGGAATTGCATTCACTTTTCAGCAACATTCTGAGGGCCGCATGCCTGAGGTGGGGAGGGCCAGAGGCAAATGTGGGCAATGATAATGCTTCCTTGACATGCTATCTGTCTATGGCCTTGTGCAGCAGATAATGGGATCGGGGTTCTTAGCGTCTCTCATCCATTTAGTTATTTTTGCACAACGTGTAGCAACGCTACATCACTTGTTCTTGCAGATCAACTCTCTAAGATTTCCATCTTTGAAGCCCCATTAATTTCCTTTGAAAAAGTAAGCAAGCAAGGCTATCTTCCATACAGATATTCACGGTTTCAGACCGGGTGCATGTGATCGCCTGGCATCTGAGAAACCTGTGGCATTTTATGAAGATGCCAGCAGCATGATATTTCAAGAAGGTCTAAGAAGGAAACTTTGGAATCTTTTCATGTTTGTCAGTAAGCTTAATTAAATGTCACCTACCCATTGGCTCACATGATCTTTGCAAGACATCTACTTAAAAAATAATAATCACAGGCTTTCCCACAATACATTTTAATATATTTTTCTTGACCATTTCTTTATTCATACAATCTATATCTGATTATGTGTGTGCATGCGCAGAACTAGTGAGATTTGTTTGTTGCTTGTTTGTTTGTTTGTTTGTTTGTTTCATATACTGCCCTTCATCGGAAGATCACAGGGCAGTTCACAACATAAAAATACAAAATGAGGACACAAAATACATAATAAAATAAAAGCAAATAAAAACCAATCACCCCCTTCCACAAGCACATTTCATTTTATTTAGTGAATGCCAAAGATAACCATAAATTATGTACCTGTGACCCAATAGACTGTGTTTTAATTGGACATATTTCATTATTTTACAGTGGTACCTCGGGTTAAGAACTTAATTCGTTCTGGAGATCTGTTCTTAACCTGAAACTGTTCTTAACCTGAGGTACCACTTTAGCTAATGGGGCCTCCCGCTGCCACTGTGTCGCCACCGCACGATTTCTTGTCTCATCCTGAAGCAAATTTCTTAACCCGAGGTACTATTTCTGGGTTAGCGGAGTCTGTAACCTGAAGCGTATGTAACCTGAAGTGTCTGTTACATGAGGTACCACTGTATAGCGATTGTACGATGATGCGCTATGGCAGCACAAATGAGGGCTACCAACCTTGATGTGATGTTAATTGCATGACCAATGAATATGTACATTTTAGTTATGGAAACAGAAGTTACAGGGAACCCTGAGCAGGCTTGGGACAATGGGGTTATGGGAAGTGGAACCTCCCACTGTGACATCTAGAATTCCCACTTAGAAGCAGCTATCTGCAATTCAAGGGATGCCTTCGCTGGTGCCAGTGGATGCTTCCTTAGAAAAGCAAATAGAAGCTTATTATGGAAATGGTTGTCTGCATTGTGACAGGGAGAGAAGGGCGTCAATTTCTCCTCTGCCTTGGGTTCCATTTGCTGCCTGAGGAAAAGGGCAAGATGCCCTCTCCCCTCATTCCACATGCAGAAACCAACCAGACTGGTGTTGAATCTCACCTAAATACTGGTGACAGGACGCTATTATCCAGGTTAACTAGGGACACAGTGCATGTCACCTGACAGAAGCAGCTCTATCCTCTACCACCAAACGACACCACGGCCCAGCCAAGCCCAGCCCCAAGCTCAATGGCAGGTACACTTTGCTGTGGACACTAGATGTGGGCAATACACCAGTGTACTTTCTCTATATGGAGATGAAACACTATAAAGAGAAGAAGTGGAAATGTTATTGAATATGAAGCATCTTACTTTCAGAGTTAATATAAATTATAGATGCATCTTTAGACGTAATATTAATTGACATGACATGCTACCACAACGTGGTTTATAATGAAGTCAAAAAAGATAACAAGAATACATAATACCTGCAAAATAGCAAAGTCCTTAAAATTCACAATTCCAGAACTCATGGGAACTCATTGAATAGGAATGTACTCTGCTGCTGCAACTAATCCATTTATCTTATCAGGATTCTTCTCCAAATGCCTGTGGGAAAAGGTGTGTCTTTAACCAGCCACCTCAAGCTATAAACTTTTTCTAAGAAAATTTATGGCATTTCAATTCATACACAAATAAGATCCTCTACTTTCTTGCTGTGCAATGAGCAAACTCACCCAAAATGTGGGAAGAGGCTTATTGTTTTTGTTTGTTGCTGTGCTGTGCATTTTTGTGTCTTTACAGATATATTAGAAGCTGCCCTGTGAGCCTCAGATGAAGTGAAGTATAGACCTTTAATAAATGAATACTAAAAATCAGACACACTCATTTGTTCTTGTACCCTCAGTGAATGGCAGTGCTTACATACAGCAGGGCTTGGGAACCTATGGCCTTCCGGACGTTGTTGGAATTTATTTCCCATCAGCCCCACGTAGAATGCTCAATGGTCAGGGATAATGAGAGTTGGGGTAAACAGCATCTGGAGGGCCACAGATCATACAGTAACAGTGGTATGTGGTGAAATTTTTCATTGAGGAATAGTTAGGGCTAGAGGCGCCAGAGTCTGAGGGCAATGGAGGTGGGGAGGAAGAGATGTTGTGTGTGAGAGCATCATGCTTCCCTCCCTGAACCAAGCAGAAGCTTCTCAAACTTTGGGAAGGAGGTATCAGGCTTCTGACAGGATGCTGTAGCCCTCCTGCCTCCTTCTCAAAGCCAGGCAGGAGGGCTCTTGGACCTGTCAGAGCATCATGCTTCCCTCCCTAAGATGGGCACAAGCTCCCCAGGCTTTGGGAAGGAGGTGCCAGGGGAACAATTAAGGGACTAGCCTAGTTCCCCATGTCCACAAACCACATGCCACTATAAAGTAACTAAATGTTTCTGGAAACAT